GTCACGAGTGGCAGGGTGTGTGGGACAGTATGGGCGAGTATCTGGTCCAGTGGGCCCTTCCAGTGCTTTGGAAGTGTCAGAGATGGAAGGCAGCTGTATGGAGTCCCCTGCGACAAGTTGCAGTAACTGCTGAAGGGGATGGTGACTTATTTTGAGCCTGGTGGGCCCATGACACTTCAGGCCATCAGAGCAGAGATGCAGCATAGAGATGGACTCATGACCGAGGGGTGGACTTAGCAATGGACACTATTGCCCAGGTTATTCACAAGTGTGAACACTGCACACAGCCTCTCCTGCTCTGAAAGACTGTTACAAGAGATGGAGGCTGCCATCATGGACCAGGTGGACTCAGCAGCTTTATAGGGACTGGTCCATGCACTAAGATGAGAGTGCACTGAGATAAGTGATGGTATATTGAAAATGTGGGATCTGAGCATGACGTGAATGGTATGGAATAAGGGGTGGATAATGCCCTGGGTTCAGCAGTAGCAGTCATTTTTCTCCTTCTTGGTAGCTGGTGCTGGGCTGTGTTTTGACTTTCGGCCTGGGAGCAGAGCTGATAAAAATGATGTTTTGGTTTGGCCAAGGACTTTGTGAGCCTCATGCTCTGCCAGGGAGGAGGTGAAGCTGGGAGGAAGCAGAGACAGGACACCTGACCCAAACTGACCAAAGAGGTATTCCATACCACAGCACATCATGCCCTGGATGTAACTGGGAGTTACCCAGAAGGGGGAGTGGACTGAGGGTTGAAGGAGGTATCAGTTGGTGCTTGGTCGGGCTAGGGGGGCGAGTTATATCGGTTGACTGATGGTGAGTGGTTGTATTCTCTTTCCTTGTTATTTCCTTTATCATTATTATTACTGGTGGTAGCAGCAGTGGTTTGTGTTATACCTTAGTTACTAAACTGTTCTTATCTCAACCCGTGGGAGTTGCATTCTTTCTGATTCTCCTCTCCATCCCTCTGGGAGTAGGGGGAGGGAAAGAAGGGGGGGAGTGAATGAGCTGGGTTTAAACCACAACAACATGGTAGTGTATAACCTTTGTATAATCTATATATAATATTTTTCATGCATCTTTTCATACATCTGGGATTTACCTAAGCTGCTCAAACTGAATCAAGTCCGTTACAAAAAATACATATTTTCCAGTAATGCATCATTGGTGAGTACTCCTGCCAGCATACACCATCCCCTATCCTCCATGCTACTGGAAAGACCCTTATGAGCTTGGAAAACTCCTATTCCGTAAATATTTTTGGCCAAGTAGCCTACTTCTAAGTGTGTAAGTTGAACTGTGATCATAACTTGATTTTCTTCCTTTATATAACTCTGTTGAAATGATTGTATTTTAAGGTAGGAAGATATATGTTTTTTTACTATTTAGTATTTCTGTCTACATAGCGCTTGCTTAGAATTGCATCTCAAGGCAATATGCCTTGAGTAACTGAAGCTGTAGTTAGTGTTGTGGTGTTTGTATACATAAACACAGATATATCTAGCAGAGCTGCAGACACTTAAGATGATTCATGGAATCTGCAAAACTGTTGTAAATAGCTGTTCCTAAGTACTGGATCTTTTCAGCAGATTTTTTTGTGGTTTGGATTTTTTTTTCTTGCGTGTTTGTTTACTTTTCTGCTGATACTTTAGGATAAGAATAGAGTATGAGCGCACTTAAGATGAGCAGACAGCTGTTGGTACTGACAGCAGCTCTCAGACTGCTGAAATCAGTCAAGTTAAGGACTAAACCACATTCACTGACTGAAACACTGCTACATGTAGTCAGGATTGCCAGTAGGCTGCATCTACTGCCCTTTCACGATACTATGTTTGGTGCCTCTGTGGCCTGTAGAGATGAGCTGTTAAGAACATTAAAGCTCGTAACAGTCAGTGCCACTTCCTCTGCTTCCAATTTGGTTTTGGAAACTAGAAGAGTTTTTGTGCCATAGCATGTTCAGTGTAGGTGTAGTGAATGAAGGTGTTCAGGAAGGACTGGTGAGCATTTGTGGCATGAGGAGTTTGGGATTTGAGCAGTTTGCTCAGATTTTGCTGGAGGAATAAGCCTGTTAAAATTGTCTTGTGCTTTGTCTTGTGTATTTCACCTCTGAAGATTTGTTTGCATCAGTGAGCTGTGCAGCATCCTTGCTAGCCTTATAAAAGGGTTAGTGATGCCTGTGTGGGGAGATGGTAGTACCAAGGAACCTAGGATGACAAAGTATGAAACTGGTGGCACAGGAGGGGTAGGGAGCATGTTCTGCTGCTGACAGGGTAGGCTTATGTTGCATGCTCAGGGAGAGGGAAAGGGTGTTCAAACACATCCTGAAGTTGAAGAATAAGAAAACTAAAAGTTAGGGTAAGATTAAAATCAACCAGCTTTAAAAACAGTGTAAGGCATGACACTGCTGAAGTCCTGGCAAGATTATGGAAGTGTGCATTTTTAAAATGTGCAGTTGGTCAGTGGTACCTTAACTGCCTGCCTTGGACAGGAATCCAGACATAGGGCTTTATTGGTTGGCTCTCAGCTGTGATGGGCAGGTAAGAGGTGCCATAAGGAAATACTCATTTTCTTGCTTTCTTTTTCTGTTGTGAGAATGGGCATGCCCTGGAGTGTGTGGCTTACTTTAGTAAGGATGTGGGATTTTTTTAGCAAGAGCTGTGTTTCATGATGGCTTATGCAGAATGCCTTAATAGTTCTTTCACAGTGCCTTTAATCAGTATTTTCATTTTGCAGACAGAAAATGGAGGTGTGTTTCCATGTATTTTGCTTTTCCTTGCTTTGTCACTAAGCCAGCAGTATTTTGGAGCACAAAACAACACTTTTGGTCTTCCCCTGAGCCTAAGCCAGATGGAGCAGCCTATTAATACTTGTTACAGTGTGGCTGCATGAAATCCAGCTCCTGAATTGGTTTGGGAGGTTACATCAGTGTTAGTGCTGATGATATGGACACGCTAGCAAGGCTGCCACATGCACGAAAGGGTCAAACGAGCATGCTTTTAGGTGTGGATGGTAAAATGTCATCTTGGTTAATTATTTATTAGCTAGATTCTCCATTTATTCATTTATATTACTAATGATTGGGTGTTTATTCTTCTGGATGCCTATGACTTCTTCCATCTTGAGTCTCAGGTAGTTTCAGTCCTAGGAGCAAAAAGAATCATTTAGGTCAGTTTTATGGCCAATTATGTCTATTCTCTGATGGAGAAACACTAGCAATGCTGAGTGCAGTAGTGGCCAACTTTCTGGATATAGCATTGCCTTGGATGCAGTTTGTGTCCTAACCATTTGCTTACTGCATTCACTCCTGTGAGTTCCTGATACACTTCTATTCATAACAGCAAAATACTTGCCCTAAAAAGTGGGACAGTGTCACAGGCAAAGGTGGAAGTGGGGCTGAGGGCAGAGTTGCGGGACTGCCTCTTTGCTGATACTGTGCACTGAACTATTTGTGAACTCTAGTATTACATAGTGTTAGTTTTTGTGGGAAGCTGAGGCTTAGTATTTATGTAGAATAGCAGCAACATCTTAAGCATGGTACATGGTGTATATCTTTGTGTGGTAATTGTGATGGATATGTTTATAACTCAGTATTCTGTCTGGTTTAAACTGTCTCTGAATATTTTGTCTTTGTGCAAATACAAGATTGAGTTACAGATCTTTACGAAAAACATCAAATTGTAAGTTGACTTTCTGTGAAAAGGCTGTTTTCTGCCTTCCGTATCTCCTCTTTCTCCACACCCTTCTTAACTTTAGATTCAAGGGTGCCTAATTTGTTCATAACTCCTGTTAGTTGGTGTTTGCACTATTGTGTATCAGAGACTTGAATAAATGATATGAGCTTCTTTTTTCATTTGTGTGCTATATTTTTTTAAAAAGAAAGTTGAATACAGAAGGATTCTGGTTTCACAATTGCTTACTAGACTGTAACTATTACATGCTCAAAGAACATTCTCAATTTCTACACCTGAATTACTATTTTGACTGGAAAATTTTGTTGCCTAAACCCAGAAAAATACCTTGCCAGAGCCTTTGGTACATGTGTTACCAACTGATAATGGAGTTCAGAAAAAATCTCTTTAACTCGTTACTTTTCAGTTTCCAAAGTGTTGAAATTGCAGTTTGCATGCAGCTTGCAGAGTTTTAACACCTGGTTCTTTGGCTGCAGTCAGAATAAGAGGGAGGAAGCTCCATGCTGTAAGTGATCTGATGCACAGGGTTGAGATTTGACAGGAAGGTGTGTTGAAATATTGAGGGCATGATTCTCCATCAGGGGAACAAGTGATTGCCTAAACCAGAATGGTAAATAAGCATCTCTTAAATGTAGAATGTAAGCCTTGTGAAGAATTGTTGAATGTCAAGATGGAAATGCCTGTTATGTATTCAGTAGTTGCAGAATAATAAGGTTCGGAGATCCAAAACTTTAACATACCATGAAATGAAATTTGATCAAAATGGATCTCTTTAACAGTCCTGTAGTGAGGCATCTGTTACTCAACTACAGCTGTTTCTTTCAGGGTACTCTGACTGTTCAGAGCATAACAGTGGGGGGTTTTGATGCATGTTGTTATTGCAGTTCAGCATTAGAAAAATTAGAAATATTTAAGTCCACTGATTGTAGCAGCTATTATAGTCATTAGTATCACTGCAGAGAATTGCTGAGCTTCTTTTGATGGTTTTTCCAGTGAAGGCATTAAGAGGAAGAATCCTCAAAACCAGTACATACATCAGCAGTTATTTAGAATCTCCTGATGACCTTGTGACTTGACAAGCCTCTTGTAAGCTTTGGCTGAAATGTCAGAACCTTGAACGTTGTCAAGGTCACTGGGGAGTGCAGAAACTGATAGATTAGTGCTATATTAATATTGGGTGAATTTTTGTCACATGTCCCAGCGGTGTAGGGATCCTACATCAAGAATCAGCCCCCTCTATATTGTCCCGAATGTTTGCTATCTAACGTCTGTCTCCAAAGTGTGTAGTTAACAAGTGGTGTTTTTCCTTTCAAGCAGGGAATCATTAGCAGAGTGACAGCATCAGTGAAAAACATTGTACCAGGATGGTTGCAGAAGTATTTCAATAGAAGTGAAGATGAATGTGTAGATGCAAATGAATCTACAGACCAGGAAGAGAATCCAGTAAACTATCACCATGATTATGCAAATGAAGATACCATCGTGATTGATGGGAGAGTCACGCCTGAAACAGCAAGAATTAATTTAGAAGGTATGTAAAAAAATCATTTAGCATTCTGGCCATCTCTGTTTATTCACAAATTTCTAGCTCTGAATCTAAATTTCTAAGGGAAGCTGGAAGGGGCATTTTGACAGAATTAAAAATAAATAAACCCCCCCAAAACAACCAAACCCAAACCCACCAACAAAACCAAAGCACCTCAAGAAAACACCAAACACTCCCTCCCCTCTCAGTAACTGTTTCTGAAACTGCAGTTATGTTGTTTCTGCACACATAACTGCAAAACATACTGGCGGTTGTCTTGCAGCTCTTGGAAGTCATCAGTTAACTTCAGGTAGTCAATTAACCAGGTGCAATTTTGGTAATACTCATTTGCAAGTGTGCTGGGTCAGATTTTCTTTTGGAAGGCTCTGGAATGAATGTCTAATTGCCTAAGGTAATAAAAACATTAATTTGTTTTGTGTCCTCAGAACAAAAGACCAGATGCTAAAGTGACAGAGGAAAATTCCTTCTTCATGTCCTGATTTTTTTGTTGTTGTTTGGGGGGGCGGGGTGTGGTGTTTGTTCCTTTGGGCTTCTTCAGTTCAATTCCTTGTTAGTTTAATGAAGAACTGAGGAACTTGGTCTGTGACATTATTCTTTTTGAAATATGTTTCTTTCAAAATTTCCATATGCTTTCTTTCAAAATACATTCTTTTCTGAAATGTGTAGTAACATGAAGGTAAGTGCATAGCTAGCGTGGGGTCTTTGAAAACCTGTTTGGAACCATGGCAAAGAATTTTGCAACCCTTCACCATATAAAAGATCTGTGTTTTATATCTGTATCTCACTGTTTCTATAGATCTCTGTAAATTTGCATATGCTCTCATTTGAGCCTCTCTTAAATTAGCAGTTTTGTGGAACTTGATTAAGTAGAGGTCTGAACACGTGTACATAGCCATCTGTGTGGAAGGTCAGTTGCTTCTGTTGTTGGCAGAATGGAAAATAATGAGGAAATGCCTTTGCCACCAATGTCATCTAATTGTAAATAAGGAGCTTTATTGCTTTTTGTGTAGCTGTAGCTTGAGGATGAGTTTGGGTAAAGGAATAGAGAAGCTCTTCATGAATGAGGAACACATGTTGGCTTTCCTGAAGAATTGTGTGAAAGGACCTTTCAGTAAGAACAGCTGCACAGCAAACTTTCTAGCTCTAAAAAAATTATGAGCAGATGGACACCCTAGAACCTTTAATAGCTTTTGTTGCAGTCTGTGGATGCTGTAGGCCAATCTTTCTTGCTATAGTTAATAAGATTTTTAATTATTACTACTATTATTATTTTGGAATGCTTGTTTCTTCAGCTCTGAGTTACCAGTGTGCTAGAGTCTATTCCTTTGCTTGGCCAGCCTTTAACATGATAACACTTTATCTTGAACAAGACAGTCCTAAAAACCTGCCAGTGCTTTGGAGACCTAATTACTAGTACTGTGGTGGTTATGAAGATTGAACTAGCTAGTTTAAGCTTCAGTGCAAATATCATACAATTACAGAATAGTTAGGGTTGGAAAGGACCTTAAGATCATCAAGTTCCAGCCCCCCTGCCATGGAGAGGGACACCTCACACTAAACCATCTCACCCAAGGCTTTGTCCATCCCGGTATTGAACACTGCCAGGGATGGAGCATTCACAACCTCCCTGGGCAACCTATTCCAGTGCCTCACCACCCTAACAGGAAAGAATTTCCTCCTTATATTCAATCTAAGCTTCCCCTGTTTAAGTTTTAACCTGTTACCGCTTGTCCTGTCACTACAGTAAAGAGGATGGTGACTCAAAATCATGTTCATATCCAGAACTCCCAGGAGAGACTGTGGCCTTACATGGGTATCAGGCAAGATACTCATTAAGAGCTGTTCCATTTGGGTGGCAAGTTGGAGCTGTGATACTACCTCTTGCAGGACACTGGAGAGGTTCCCGAGGCAAAAAATACCTATCTGGCAACTGAGGCCATGGTGCTTACCTGTCTTTGTGCCCACATCTCAAAAGTTAATGGATAATGTTTTGCCTGTAGCATGGCCTGATGTAGTAGAATTTTGAAAGAGGGATGATGACACCAAAACAAATAACTCTCCCAGAAAATCTCTGGAAATATCCATTTTCATGTCATGTATTCATATTAACATCATCTGTGTTATAAGATTATGTAAACTGCAGATTTGTCTGTAAGTTGGCATGCAATTTCAAATTTTGGAAAGCTTATTGCAAGTTTTGTCTGCAAAAGAAGGATGTACATTTTTGATTTAGTGAAAGACCAGTGTTACAGCACTTGAACATGGGGTCAGAATCTGGTGTTGTAAAACCTCATCATTAACTGCTTCTTAATGGGGCATTAATACTTAGTATTACAAGCAGTGTTGCTGTTGTAATCAGACAGATGAAACCCTATCTGGGTGAGGAAGAAGTTAAATTCGGCTTCTCTATTTTTGTGCTTGAAACTTGGCAATAGCATAACTGTTGATAGAAAACAGGTTTTGGCTTCTGTAGCTTGCCTATAGAAAAGCTAATTGTCTCTCTGTTTTTGTTTAGAACCATCCACAAGTAGATCTGCATTGAACTACTCAGATGTGTTAACAAGGCCCTCTCTTCATCGAAGCCATTTGAACTGTACCATGTTGGATTCTACAGTACCACATTGTCAGCCCTCTACATCTTCTTCACTTGGCATTGGAAGTCCTGGACTGTCTCTTGTAAGAGAAATAAAAGATTCTACCTCTCAGCATGATGATGATAACATCTCAACAACCAGTGGCTTCTCCTCTAGAGCATCTGATAAAGGTAACTTTCATGTTCTCTAACTGATTTTTGATAACATGAAGTACTTTGCAGTCTATAATATTCCAAATCACCTTAGTAAATGAAGTAGGTGACTATCAGCTTTGGGTGTTAGAATTAAATTTAATTATTAGCATTTTAAGAAGTATATAATCCTGTCATCTTTTTAATGTAACCATGCTTTGGAATGTATTTGTGAGACTTGATGTTGAGTCAGTGCTGATGAACGCAGTTTTAGCTAGGTTATCTATAAATCTTAAACTCGGATAGTATGATCTGGAAATGACTGGACAGCTATGTTGGTTGCCTAGAAGGAAGAGTGATTCACAATATTTAACTGACAGCTGCTTGACTGTGAATAAATACAGGTGACAAATGGAAACACAAATAGATATTTTCCTGTTTTCACCAGGAGTCAATAAAGGAACTGTTCTGACTGAGCTGTTTCTGGGCTGCTTTTTTGTCCTTTCCTGGTAGAAGGCATCAGTTGTCAATACTGCCATGTCTTTTGCTGAATTCAGTAAGGAATGTACACCATTTCAAAATAAAAAAGGAAAACAAAACTGAAACCATTGTATTGGTGTAGATGGGGACTTAGGGGATCTCACTGAAAAATGGCAAATAGGTTTGCAGCTTTTTCTAGCCCCTATCCTTCACACTCACCACCTCCCCCCTTCCCCAGTATAAATGGTGATTGATGTGTGTGCTCAGCAAGTTTTCTGGAGGACATGTTTTCACAATGTAGAGTAGATGTTGACAGAGTTCAGCAATATAACCCAAGTACACTAGAGCTTTCTGGTGCATCTCCATAAAACATACATGGAAAATAGGTTGTAAACTCTGTTAGTTCAGCCTTTGAGGAATTTTTCAGGTTTAAAGCCTGTGCAATTCTGACCTATGATGGCCTCTAACCCTTTACCAACAGAGGAAAAACTTTGTATTATTATAGATGCACCAGTGTTTATGAAGTTCCTTTTTATTTTACTGTGAAAGAATTAAAAAATAAAATTGCTCTGCATTGGAAGTATATTAACTTGTGCATGCTTTTGAAAGGTTACTGAAAGGTAACGTATTTGCAGTTCTGTGAACAGACTTAAGTGTTGACACTTGGTTTTCGTACAGTATGTGAAATTGATCTGTTTGAAAACTGAAGATTATAGACTGTTTGAGAAATACCTGTTAGGAGACTTAAATTCTGTAAGACTTATTTTTATGTATTAAAGAACTCTGGTGTTAGTGTGATCTTCAGTATTAAAGTTCTCTATGTATACAAGGTATTTACATATAGCATGTGTCATCTTGGCAGATATCACAGTTTCAAAAAATACTTCAGCACCACTGCTGTGGTCCACAGAAGCTGAAAGATCTCATTCCCTCTCACAACATCCTGCAGCTAGCTCTAAAAAACCGGCGTTCAATTTATCTGCTTTTGGATCTCCCTCTCCTGTAAGTACTGCACAGTATCAATTTTAAATAGTTTGAATTTGTAGCCATTTTACTAACCACTTATCTTAATACCATTCTGTAGTCACTTGGAAATGCTTCTGTCTTTAAGACAAGCCAGCTTGGAGATTCTCCATTTTACCCTGGAAAGACCACTTACGGTGGTGCAGCTGCAGCAGCAAGGGAGACAAAAGCACGAATTGCTCCTTATCAGGTATGAGAATAGCAGTGAGGCCTGAGGGAAAATGTAAGCAAAATACAGAAGGGGTAACACTACCAGAAGAGCTGTGAGCAGGGAGCTGAAAATGTGGCAACAGTTCCCATTTTGCCCTTTCAACCTACAAGAGTAGGAAAGAACAATTTCTGTTTAAATTATGTTTTAACAGTTTATGTAGAAATCCTTGTTGTGATGCACAAGAATGACAGTAACATCTTAGATTCTGGCTAGTTGTTCGTAGTCCGGATTTCCTCTGTTGTTAACTCTAAAAAAAAAATAAATCCATTAGCTGCCTCCTGACTGTATTGTATTAAAATAACATGTAACTAAAACCAGTAATGGCATAACTTGTGTTTCTAGTAACAAAAGCTACTTGCCTGATACTTACCTGTTTATCTTGCACAAGCATACCTACACTCATGCTATGAATATATTGTGTAAAACCGTGCACCCTTTACTATAGTAGTGTTTAAGAGGCAACTTGGCTGATCCTTTGCTCTTCTAGTACCTAGAGGGATACATGCAGTCCTAATCCAGTCTCAAGATAAACAATAAAATGCTTTCTATTTTAGTATCATTCAGTTAGCTCTTGAAAAGAGTTGCTTGCCCCTAAGAGTTCTTTGTGTTCTAAAATGAACCAGCAAATTAAAAATGCTGCCAACTCTCAGTAGCTAGAGTTCATTCTGAAAGGAAGTCAATAAAATCTGATTCAGTCAGAATGTGTTTAAGTCAAAATTACCTTTATTAAAAAAAATAATATCAAAAGTCACAAGGAACTTTATTTAAGGAACTGGAAAGAAGAGTTTGCTGGACCTGTTCTGGCAGTTTATTTTTGCCATGGAACAAAGGAGACCTCCAAGTTCCTGATGTAGGGGAAACCTTGAAAACTTAACACTTCACTTAAAACACTTAAACTTCAGAACACTCAAAACTTCCTGTAAGCTAGGAGCCCTCTTTGGTCACCTGTTTCTATTTTCTACAAAATAAATGTGGATTACGCTGAAAGGAGGAACGAAAATACTAGGCTTTTGAAAGAGAGATTAGCTTGCTTGTTGCTACATATTGTAGATTACAGCAAGTCTTGCTGGTGTTTTTTACGTGCTGTTTAGTCTGTCTGCACATAGCAGCTTGATAAGCATGATGTGGATACATGAAGGGTTTTAACATAATTAAAAAAAAAGACACACTGAAAAAGAAGCATGGGTTTGGGTGTTTTGGTTTGTTTTTTTTTTTTTAATATTTTATTATATTTTTATGTAAAGTCATGTGGTACAAATAAACCAGTCTGCTTTTCAGTGTTATATGTTTAGATCTGTTTGTTACAGTTCAGTTCAGATCTTTTTAAACAGAATAAAAAGATCTGCAGTGAACTGTAGTCTTGGAGGAAGGGAGGAAGTGAGAACTAAAACTAGAAATTCCTGATGATGATAGTATATGTTGGTTTTACGCTTACACCATCATGAAACTCTGAGATCTGTTTTGTTAGTGAAAGTACTTTGTATAGCACAAGCCTTTGCTTCAGTTCTGTTCTCCTGATTACTGCTTCAGAGACCATACAGGTCTAACATCTTCCCTTTTATGAATTTTTACAATTTAGCATTTCTTTCATTGCTTTATCCTGCATGCAAGATGTGTGGGGCCCATCTTCTCTAAAGTCAGTAGAGTGTATTTTCTCTTCATGGCTTGAATGCCTAGTGAGTGTATTTCTGTCATCAGTGTAGCCATAGGGCATAAAATACATGCATGTTTAAAAAGTCAGTGTTATAATATTTGCAATGCTAATTTTTCAGCCACCAGTAAGAAGACAAATGAAAGCTAAACAAGCAAATGTGCAATCCTGTGGTGTGACAAGTTCCACAGCACGGCGCATCTTGCAGTCATTGGAGAAGATGTCAAGTCCTTTGGCGGTAAATGGCACTTCTTTTAATCTGTTTTATTTTGTGTGTTTGAAAAACATAGTAAACGTGCTAGTACAGGATGAAGAGCTTCCTTATGTAGTATCCAGTTTAATTTATTTCACTGTTTTTCAACAGGATGCTAAAAGGATTCCATCTTCTAGCCCACTGTCTTCTGTAAGTTGATCGTAACCCCGCACGTTTTTGTGGATGCAACCCTCTCTTGGGAAAATGAATAAATTGTCCTCTAATATTTACTCTTTTTTTTTTTTTTTCCTTCCCCTTAGCCTCTGGACAGGTGTGGGCTGAATATTACTACCTTCCAACCCAAGCGAAACCAGGTAAGAACCAGTAATATCTTAAACTGAGTTAGATGACTTTCTATTCTTTATAGCTATTACGAGAAATGTCACAAACTTTAGTGGCAGCATACACATGAATTCAAGTTAATACTAATATTACATGAATTATAGCTGTCCTGGCTGTGTGGAAGTTGCTAAAAATGTCTTTTCTACCCACACTAGAAGGATTGTGAAGATTTCTCAGGTTTGGAATTATATTCTTTATGGACAGAATATCTCAAGAAGTTTCTATGCTAATCCCTTGATTAGAAGTATAATTAATTTTACAGGCACTTCAGAATTTACAAAAATCTTATATTTTCTGTACCATCATTCCCCATATGCTAAATTACAAGAATGTTGAAAAGTAGAGCATATAATTTCTTTACCATAAATATTATCTAAATAATTGAAAACAAAGCCGATACGGATTCTCAGTTAAATTGTGGAACTACACCTGTGATGAGGCATTAGGAAAAATCTACCAGATTTACAGCAAAGAGCCTGACATCAGTCAGAAGGGAATGTTGCATGCAGCTGTCACTGGTAAAAGTAGAGAAATTGTCTATTCATAATACTAGAATTCATGAAGTTTGGCAGGGGAAGGTTAGCCCCGGCTGAGAAGGGGAGGAGAAGGTTTGAATGTTTTCCCACTAAAGCAAATGTGTGGTTGACAGAACAACTGAGCACTTGAGCGTAATTTTTTGCTGGTATTCTTTGTGGTATTTTTCTTATTTTGAGGATCTGCACCAAACAGAATAGCTCTTGGTGTATTAAATATTGTAACTTTTTCATTGTGTATTCCTGTCTTAACTAATTTGGTATTTTTCTACAATAAGGTCACCTGCCTTATGTGTGAAGGCAAGGTGGTGGATTTTAGTAAGGCTTTTGATACTGCCCTGACAGCATCCTTCTGTCCCATCACTGGAAACGGGTCAGGTTGGACAGGGCTTTGAGCAGCCTGATGTACTTGAAGGTGGCCCTGCTCATTGCAAGTTTGGGGTTGGACTAGATGACCTTTAAAGGTCCCTTCGATCCCAAATTATTCTATGATTCTGCACCTGGGACAGAGTTAGACTGAACACAAGTATAAACTGTGAGCAGAGTGGCTGGAGAGCAGCCCTGCAAGAAGCAACCTAAGGATGCTGGTTGGCCACAGGCTCAGTGTGAATCGGCAATGTGCCCTGGCGGCCGTGAGGGCAAGCTACATCCTGGGGTGCATCAAACACAGCATCACCAGCCAGTCAACAGAGGTGTTATCCCACTGTACTCAGTGTTGGTGCAGCCTCACCTTGAGTACCGTGTGCAGTTCTGGGCCCTACAATTTAAGAAGGGAGTTAAGGTCCTTGAACATGTCTAGAGGAGGGCAACAAAGCTGGTGACAGGACTGGAGGGAATGAACTATGGGAGCAGTTAAGGACACAGGGTGTATGTAGCTTGGAGAGGAGACTGAGGGGTAAACACATGGCTCTCTACAGCTTCCTGAGAAGGGGAAGCAAAGAGGAAGGTGCTGAGCTCTTCTCCCTGGGATCCAGTGACAGGACATGTGGCTCAAAGCTGCATCAATCAGAGGAGGTTTAGACTTGACATTAAGAAGCATTTCTTTAATGAGAGGGTGATCGAGCACTGCAACAGGCTTAGTAGAGAGGTGATTAATGCCTCAAGCCTGTCAGTGTTGAAGAGGCATTTGGACAGTCCTTAACAGCATGCTTGTAACTTTTGGTCAGCCCTGCAGTGATCAGGCAGCTGGACTAGATGATCGTTTAGGTCCCTTCCAACTATTCTGTTCTAATTCTATTCTGTTTACATTTAAAAAAAGCAGTGGACCGTTCTTCACTCAGAATGGGTTTGTGAACTTACATGAACTACATTTTCATCATGGTTTCAAAATGAATTAATTTTAGAAAGAAGTACTTTTAACCACTTTATAGGTAGTACAACATGAATTTAATTACCAAGAGTTGGGAGATACTGTGAAATTAAAGCGGCATTGTAAACACAGTTTTCTTTTGATATTAATTTAAATAATAGCATGCATCTGAAGTCTCACTCTTCTGATCCCTAAGACTGGATATGAATCCATTCATTGGTAAACCCGTAGCTTTTTTGTTTTGCAATTCAGTTAAGTCAGTTTTGCAGAACGTACAGCGCTTTCTATTAAAAATAAACACTTGTCTGAAAATTGCTTTGAAAAGCAAAGTGCCAGTACTTTTAAATGCATCTAATGCAAATCTGGAACATATTTTAATAAATGATACTATTTTAAAATTACTTTACAATTTTTTTTAATTGCTACTTCAAGGAGGAAAAATGCAACCATTAGCTGCTTAGCACTTTGAATGTTAAATGAATGGATTAAGTCAGTAAAAAATATTACAGTGTGGACAGAGGAGAGGAAAGGTTGGATGCATATTATAGTAAGATGAGTTATTTTGATTATAGGAACATGACTTACTTTGTCTATAAAGATAACTGCCAAATTTTAAAGCAGGATTCAGTCAGAGTTTGGCTACTTCTATTGCTTTTTGGATTTCATAACAGGTTTTCTGGTGATTTCCGTCTGCAAGCTAAATGCTTTCAACACTTCTAAATAATTTTCACTGGGTGCTGAGACTTACTGGAGTTTTAAAGTTCTGTAGCTTTCTTCATCAGTAAATGCTGTGGCACTTTGCACGGGTGCAAGGATAAATTGATTGTTGCTTCCCTTTCAAAGATGGAATCGCAGCTTCCACCTGTCCAGAAACTTGTGACACCAAAGGCAATCTCTCTGTCAGGGAGTCGGACCCAGTACTTTAAACCATCTCTGACTCCAGCTACTGATTCCAGCAAAATTCACCAGAGGGTAGATACAAAGCACAAAGTAAGTAATTTTCTGGTCCTTATCTGCCTGCTTTTTATAACTTTGGAATTATTCTATTAAGGTGCTCTTTCTTGGCAAAGATTACCAATAGCATGAGGTAAGCATTAAGGCAGGGGGAGAGCCATTTCAAACAAAATGCTTTGAGGTTTTATGGATTTAAATGTATTTTTGGAACAGTAAATGGCTGGTGGTTAACTACAGAATGTGATGATCCGCTATTGGGTCAGGCTGTTCTCAGTGAAAACATGTTTAAATGCAGAAACAACATTCCTTTTTGTATGCTCCTGTACACAAAGCTGTCACTGATGGAACATGCTGATGCTGTGTATAAACTCTGTCTATACAGGCTCTGAATAAGATTTCTGAGTTACCCATTCTGATCACTTTGGTGTAGATGGAGTCCCTGGTAAACTTTCCTTAAAACAAGATTGGCATCTCTTTCATTAAAAAAAAACAAAACAAACAACATGTTTCCAGTATCAGTATGATTGTAATAATCAGGTTTAAGATGGTGGACTTTTTAGGCAAGAGATCAAAGCAGATTGTCATAATGGTTAGAGAAGAAGCTTAATTAGGTGATGTATATTTAGTGTTACAAACAGCACGAACCATGTCTGGTTGGTTGTCTTTGCTTTGCATGTGTTTTATAAATACATTCACATAAATCTTGAAATAAATCAAACTTAACTTCCAGGGCATGAGAGAGAAGAGTTTTCCTACAGAACAGCGAGTAAACCCATCTGAAAGGTATGTCAAATTTGTTAGTTGAAAACACTTGAAAGCTTTCGCTTTTATCACTGTAGTCTGCATGCCTGCCTTCTTTTGGAAGGGCAGTAACAGTTCTCAGTGAAGGGAATGGAAAATACAGTGAAAAGATTGTATTATGAGACAATTTAACCATTTCTGCATCTTTATGTTCACTGGAGGGAGGGCACCTATTCATTTCAGCTAATTATTTAATTACTTGGAGTCAGAAAACTTTGTCCTAAAAGAATTATTCTTCCTGAAAGATCCTTTATAAGGTGAAGTGGCTTACAGTTCAGGTGTATATTTAATTTGTAGGGTTTTTTTTTAAAGCAGAAACTTGGAGGAAGATAACTTATTAATGCTCCTTTCATGGCAAAGTCACTCGTTTGCTCTGTGGGTTTGCATGAAAAACAGGAGCCTTTTAGAATTATCTGAGGCTAAATGTCAATTTGCCTGTAAAATACAGAATTCCAGGAGAGTTAATAATTTTATTTCTTCTTGAGGAGATAGTCTTGCATTACACTGCTTGCTTGGTTTAGGTAGAATGACTTCACCTCCAGATAATATTGACGATTCTCCCTTCTGGACAACTAGTCTTTTGGGTAGTGCTTGAATTAAGACACTTTGCATTCAAAGGATACCTATTTTTGGAGGCTTCATCCATTTCAAAGAACAGTGGCAGGGAACTGTGTTTTGTTGTCTCTGTGTTCATCTTCCAAGCAATTCTTATGTTGCTCTGGGCATTCATTGGCTTGCGAAAAAACCCACAACAAACCAATCCTTTGTTTTGGCATCTGATAGTTTGACTTCACAGCAACCACCTTTTCAGGGGTGGCTCTAAGTGTTTGGCTCAAGTGCAAACAGATGTTACATTTTAATTGTGGGTTTTCAAACTGTGTTAATTTTTTTTTTTTTTTGTAAAATCCTTTCTTCTCCATGTAGAAGGGAAATCCAGAAAACAGATACTGCTCTTTATTTGGTTCACAAGTTGTATGTTCCACTTCTGTCCATAGAGTAGGTGGTCCCTTTAAAAAAAAGTTTTATAAAGCCAGTCTCCATTGGGTGTCATGTTGTGGAGCAGGAGCACAACACTGATGAGAGGCAGCTGGCCAGGGTCCCTTTGATAACAGATTAAACAAGCATTCAATTGTGTATAGAGACATAGTCATAGACAAGGCTACAAGAGCTCTCAAGATAAGGAAGTACATGCAACAAAAGAACCAGATGTCTTCCTTCAAATAGATGTGGGCCTTCCACCTTTATGCAGCTAATCTGCGGTACTTCAGTACATCTCTGTTCAGCCTACCAGAGGCTATTTATTTTTTAAACCTGAGTCAGCATTGTAGGTTGGACTTACTTGCTTGAAGACAGAAAACTGTCTTTGCCCCTTAGAAGCTGACAGGTGCTAACAGAAGAGAGGAATGTGGGCTATTACAGACAGGCTATAGTTGTCTGAATAAAGCTCAGTTTTGACATAAGATTTTTTTTTTCAATCCATTGAATTGATTGTCAGTTTGGATTAGACAAAAATATGAGCATATGGCCTTAAGGATCTGGCTTCCTCTCAGTGGTTGTACTGCTAAGCAAACTGCAAGTATCTAACAAGTTCGGACCAGTTCTGTTCCTCAGTCTTCTGGAAACTTGAGCTGGTGTCTTACAGTGTGATCAAATGAACTTTTGTAATAGCTAACTGCTTGGCTGCAGGATAAGCTTTGGTATGGTAATTATTCCCAGGGATACTTAATTTTGATGGTATACTGCTTTTTATTGTTACTCGTTAGTTCACGTCTGTTTTCAGATTGGAATTTTGGTTGCTTTTGTTTTTGTTTTTTTTTGCTTGTTTTGATTTTTTTGAGAGGTTTTTCTTTTCCCACTTTTATTAGGAAATCTTTCTGGTTTGGATCTAGGCTTTTGTAATGAACAGAGAAATGCCTTTATATGCCTTACAAAAGGGATCTGTATTCATGTCTGAAAAGATTTCTGGAATGTTGGCACACCCAGACACCTCTGCTGCTTCTGTTGATGTCCCCAGGAAAGCCGGAGCTGCTTCTGAAACTTCTGCTGTATTATCTTGCCAGACAAGTTTAAGCCTTTCTATTCCATAAGCGCTGTTGCATTTCATGTGCACATGCACACACACACAGAGGCATGCTCTCTTTTTCTCTCTCCCCCCTCACTATATTTTTAGTTATTCTTTCATATCCCTGTAAAGTTACATGCTCATCACAGACTTGGAGAACTGACAGTCAAAATTTCCACTGTCTGGACTATTAAAAGAAGCCATTAGAAAATAACAATCTAAATCAGTTCTTCTATTTCAGGTTTTCTGGCTTAGTCATCATCCCTTTATGGGTGTTGTGACTGTTTCTTATGTATGTCCTTCTCATAGCTGCTGTTACTTAGCTGTTCTTCTCTTAGCTGCTCTTACTTGAGAGAGACTTACCAGCACTGAGCAACTTGTGGAACAGCGTTTTTTCTTATTTCAATTGGAAGGTTTCAGTTCTAGGACTAATAGTGGCTGTAATAGCTTGAAACAATTAGTTCATAAGTTGATGGGTTTTTTTATTTTTCCTTTTTGCTACCTCTCCATCCCTTTCGTCAACCTATATTCTTATTCTGTGCCAGCAGTTTGACCTACCCCAAATTCAGTACTCCTGCATCCAACGGTCTGTCTTCAGGAGGAGTGGGTGGTGGTGGCAAGATGAGAAGGGAAAGAGGAGTGCACTATGTATCAAAACCTGGACAAGAACAACAGGTAAAGGATGGTTAAGTTAATTGCTGCCACTGAGGTTACTGGAGTTAACTACCTAAGTATGCCAGTTGTGGTTTTCTTGCTGCGTTTCCAGGGCAGTTCTCAGTTTATTTATCTGTTTAAATGCCTCAACTTTGGTTTTACATTTCTGAAATCTTTAGTCATATTCTTGGAGATGTTTTGTACTATAAAGTTTCTCATTAACAGTTAAATGAACAGATTTTGGTGGAGGTACATTTGTAGAGTTTTTATAAAGGAATGATGTATGAAACAAGTGCCAAGTAAGTAAAGAAAGTTTATTTGATTTGTTATTTCATATTTGAGTCATGTAGACAGATACAGGGCAAGAGTCTGAAGTAGGAGATAGTGTTCTCTGTGTCTGCTGATGATAATACACAATTTTTGGCACTCAACCGAACTCATAATGCGAAGGTTTTTTTCTTGATTTAATGGGAAAAGTCCATTTAATAAAACTGTGGTCCTGGCTATCTCCAAGATCATTTTTCTTGTTGTTTTTTTAATGCAAGCTGCCTACTATTGAATCTTAAATATAAAAAATTTACATCAGTAAGAAAACAATGAAGAAGTAGTTAATACTGGAGAACATTTCTGTGATACAAATGGTCTGAATATTGAAGTGTGACAGACTCTTCAAATCAAAACTGTGAAAGATGTAAGCTGGCGGCTACATTAAATTTCTGTAGCAGCAACTTACGTCTCTGTGTAGTCACTTCTGAGTAGATCTTGATACTACCGTGCAAGTTACAAGTAGATTGGCTGTTTCCATTTAAACCTAACTAATCAAACTTTGGAAATAAAATCATTGAAAGGCAATGATAAGACCAGAAGTTTTTAAGGTACACTGATTTCTGAGTTTTGAATTTGCATCCTGATACGCCATACAGACTAGATTTACCAGAGTATAACCTCCTGTGTTGCTAGTCAGGCTTTCATTTTTGGTGTTTTGTGCTTTGGTTTGGTACTCTATGGAACCCATGTACTTTAAACATTACCTTTTCCAAGTTCAATGCAGTGGTGACTCCAGATACTTTGACAGCTGTCCTACCTAATTTTGCAAGAGGAACACTTTCTCAGTTGTTTTGAGAGTGTACTCTTAATTGAAGAGATGAGGGGATAATTGGAAAGGATGATGTTTCTCTAGATGCTTAATAACTAAAGTAAACAAAACTAAATCTCATCTGTGCCCCTCTCTGTTCTGCACAGGTAACAGTTTTGAGCTAACTTTCAGTATTCTTTCTGGACAGGTGGTAAATGTAGTATCACATGGAAACAGACCTGCCATAAATTAAAATGATGTGGCAGACTGAACTGGAAAGGTTAGGGTTCATTTTGAAAATCTGCTTTGTTTTAATCTGGAGGTCTGTTTGTTATATTTAACTTTGTGAGGAAATAAGAGTGGGACAGGGTAGAAAGGCAGTAGGTCTTGTAAAAGAGAAAAAAAATGTTGTAACTTTCAAGTTAAAGTGAAAAAATAAAATTCACAACTTCCTAAAAGAAAGTTAAAATTAAAATAATTAAAATTTACACCTAGGAGGTGGAAGAACCAGTACTACCGAAAGTACCCTTACCCATCAGTACTGCATCGCTGCCTTCGTTCAGCTTTAATTTTCTTGCTACTAGTACTGTCTCATCGTCACCAAACACTGTTTCAACAGGAGCAATGAAGGTAACTCTTTGGTTGTATATTGTGAATACATTTTTAGGATGCGTATATGTCTGGTTTGTTGTATGTTAACATCTTCCATGGTGCTCATGAAACTAACCAACATTAGTTTATATTCTGTTGAATAAATCAGGTATTCTGATGGTGGGGCATAAAGCTTTTGGTTCAGCTTCTGTCCATCTTATTATGCTTTGCAAGCTTCTAGTTAAGGTAATTGTGTACCTGCTTCAAATGCTGTGGAGAAATTGTTGGGATTTTATGCCAAGTTATTAAATTGGAGGTAGCATAAGTGGTCATATAAGCCTAGTGTGGAATATGAGCCTAGGGTGTAATAATCAGAATATTATTGCACTAAAATAAACATTGATGTTTTCCAGAGTACTTGGAATATTTCTTACATGGTTTGAAGCAGGTACCTGCTTTAACGTGTGGTATTTGCTGAAGCTCTGACTACAATTGAGCTGAGTTAGTTTAAGGCTCTTCAGCTACCTGATCTGCTTTTCCATGCTACTTAGATATGTATATATATCAAATACATCTCAGTGATTTCTCTTAGTTTCTGGAATTTGGTTTTTATGATACTCTAGTATATATGCCTGTTTGAAAAGTTTATTTTACTGTTAACTCTGGTCTGTGGGTTAGAAATAAGTATCAAACATCAGATTACCCAACTTCACCGCAGGCCGCCTGTTAGTGAATTCAGGTAGCTCCTGTTGTTTCACCATGGTGATACAAACCTTAATTCTTTCGAAAATACAGGTACCATCAACAAGTAATGTTGGCAGTCCTGTGTTCAGATTTTCATCTCCAATTGTGAAATCTACTGAGGCAGAAGTGCTACCTCCATTGTCTGTAAGTAAAATAAGTAAAGTTTATCTTTTTATCAATGTTTTAGTAGAATATTGCAGAATAAGAAAGCGAAGTTGGTTCTGATAATGGGGAAAACAAGTATACAGGTTTCTGTCTTATAATTTTTCATCTGGCATGTGTACCAAAGGTTTGAAGAGTGGATTTCAGATTAAAGTTTCTTTAGTTTCAGAGTCTGAAAAATATCTCTCTCTTATAGCAGGTTGGGTTTACATTTAGTGATCCTGTTGCAAAATCAGCAGAGCGTTCTGGGTCCAGTGACACACCAGTGACATCCTTCCTTACTCTAGGTAAGGATCTGAAATTTTAGCATTTGAGATCTGAATTGTTGGTTTTTCTTTATTTATTAAACAGCAGATCTGTCCTTTTTGAGCATATTAACAATTCCAGGCAAAGTGTGTTTTCAGTGATACATCTACTTTAACCAAATTGTACTTATAAACTGTTGTAGCAAGGTAGAATAGTTAAGATTCATGTTAAGAGGCATGAAACTTGTAAAGTCACGTTTCTAGCAAATGTGAATATATTTTTAAGTGGATTTCTTTGTGAATGGTGTATTTTGTTCTGTTTTTAAAGATACCACCACTGTAAACAGCACCAGCAATAAGAAGGAAAAAGAAGAATACGATGGCCCCTCCAAACCTGCAAAGTTCTTAAAGGAAGGAAGTGTGTTAGACATTCTAAAAAGCCCTGGTGAGATTATGAACTCTTTTTAAAAAGATATTGTAAAACATATGCTAGCATATAACTGCATTAATTTTTTAAAAAGCCACCCCCTGTGAGCATAGGAAAGACCTATGCGTGAAATGACGTTCATTTTCTGTAGCAGTTTAAGAGAAGAAGGTTCTAAATCCACTGTTCAGAGATTCTTTTCGGATATAAAAAAAAAGTCCCAAACCAATAACATAATAACTACATTAAAACATATCTTAATTTTAGCTTTACAATAATTCATGCTGCTGTGTAAGAGCTTTGCCATACCATTTTCTTTAGTGTTTCCATATGGCTGGTTCTTACTTTCTGTTAAAATTGGCAACTTTAAATAAGGAGTTGGCCTATGTCTGGTGCATTTTGAGCAAACATTATAGGCGACAGTTGTTCTGTTGTCTTAATTTTTATTAATTCTCAGTATCTGTGGGGAGATACCATGCTGATTGCTGCTCCAAGTACCAACTGCTGCACTGCTGCTAAAGTAAATGTGAGTCAGCTGCTATGGCAGAAATAGCTTTAGAAATTTGATTCAATTGGGCATGGTGTCTTAAAATTAAATTGGTTTATTTCTAGTCCATGATGGACAGTCAGCTTTCAATACTGGTTGTTTACACTTGTATCTACCAGTGAAAGTTGTATTTAAAACTTTCTTGGAAATGAAGATTTAAATCAAGCTTTAAATAAATGTTCTGTTGCATCCCAGTGCAGCATATCAATTTCATCCCTTTACGTAAGGTTCCCAGGGACTTCCTCTTGCATTTAATCAGAATGTAAAGTAGCCATTGGCGCTTGGTTTAAGCTTCTGTCATTTAGATTTTAAGTAGCTTACATGTAACGAGGGTACTGCTTTATCAATCGGATCTCTTCCTGTTTGTTTTTTCACTAGGCTTTACCTCTGTGAAAACACACTCCCCTACATCTGCGCAGCCTGTTACAAGCACAGTGGTCTATACAAGGCCTGCAATAAGTAGTTTTTCTGCAGGTAAAGACACCTCTAAACAAGCATCCTCGTTTTGGCAGTCTGACACCTATGACCCATGTCTGCAAAACAAAACCATGGATAGCAAATGTGTAACATGTGAAGCTGCTAAAGTGTCAACAATTGAGAGTACGAAACAGACAATAAGCTCAAGTCAATGTGTTGCCTCTAAGGCAGCAGTTTCTACAGTGGGGACATTAGGCTTTGAAGACAAATTTAAAACAGCACCAAACACATGGGATTGTGATACCTGTCTGGTCCAGAACAAACCTGAAGCTACTAAATGTATAGCATGTGAGACACCAAAGCCCGGAACAGGAGTAATGCCTGCCCTGACATTGCCAGCAGTCACAGACAACACAGTGACAGTGACATCCTCCTCCAGCAGCACTGACACAACAGTCACTCTGGGTTTTGGAGACAAGTTTAAGAAACCAAAAGGTTCTTGGGATTGTGCGGTGTGCCTTGTAACAAATAAGGCAGAAGACAGCAAATGTGTAGCTTGTCAGTCCGAGAAACCAGGTATGTGGTTCTCTTTTCTGTTGTTCCAATTTCAGCCTCTGTGCATTCTCAACAGAATAAAGTATGTTGCATATTAAAAACATTTTCAGCAGCATGGCTGTATGCCAGCAGGATGGATTAGTGGCTGTCTGCAGAAATGGTTATAGGCACTTTTGAGGTCGCAGCCCATATTCCAGCCCATCACATGACTTGAACTGATTGTGAACTGTATTAGTGCAGAGCTGAACTGAAGCAAATACACCCTGCTTTGCAGTGATGAGGAATGATGAATAAACTGGATGCCTTCATTAACTTAAAACCTATTAATTAGTTTTCACTGGGGAAAAATGTGAACTCTATAAAGTTAAAAATTACTGGGTCTTTCTCTCTTTGAAAAGGAAGTTGAAACAGTGTTTAAAGAACATGGCTAAAAGTGTCTCCACTCAGTGTGTGTGTAGTTTAGCAGGCAGGTATGAAGACAGGCTGCAAGACAGTGTAGTCTTTATGTAGTTGTCTTACACTAAAACAAAACCCTATTTTGAGCTATGCCTGTGAGGGCAAGTGGTAGCCTTCCAGAACGTGGGTGTCCTTGTTCTGGTAGGTTGAGGTCCTTCCTGACCATAGGGAGGTGAGTGCCTTCTTCAGTGCAGCACTTGGGTGCTTCCCATTATATGTCACTGTAGTTGATTTTGAGTGTGGTTTGTTCTTTTTAAGGCACACAAAATAATATTTTACTGTTAACTTTCTTAACATCATTTAATACACTATTATATTAAAAAACATCTTTATGAATATATCCAGGGAGTGGGGGTGGGAATCTCTGAGGGACTGGATTGTACTTTTGTTATTACCCTGTATGGTAAATAAGAGTAGAATTTCTTCAGATAAGGTAATGTATTTCAGAGGGAGCTTATTCTCATGGACTTGCAGCCTCAGAGTGATCAGCAGGCACTTTTGACTGAAACTCTAGCCATTGCAAGGAGGGATATTGGAGATGTGAGGGTTTGCTGTGACCATCATGGTGCAGAAAATTGCACAGTTCTGCATCTGTCAAGGGGATGAGTGAGGCAGGTAAAAATGAGAGGATAAAAATCCTCTGGATGTGCTGTGGAAGACAAGGCCAGTTCCTGTCTCTGCTGTGTTGAATTTGGGACATTATCTGCTGCCTTTCTCTGAAATGCCACCCTCAGTTTTTTAAAACTGTAGGTGAACATGACAATTATGTGATGCTTTTTTACCTACTGCATGTCCACTTCGCTCCTCACACTTAGGGAGCTGAAGTTTTTTCTTGGGGTGAAAGACAAGTGACATCTCTTCTCTTACAGGGGAGAAAAATCAGATGGCAAGTGTTGTGTTTCAGGTCTCTTCATGGAGGTTTCTGCAGGTGTTGAGCACAGTGTAGCTTGTGTAGTGAGTGCAGAACTGTAGGTTTGGAAGCTTTTGAGTTCTCTGTTTTGTTTTGGGTTGTTCGGGTTTTTTTGTCATGGTGTGCTTTTTGATGTATCTGTCTCTGGGATTTGGTGATGAATCATTCTGATAAATTCTCAGCTTTGCATTACTTGGCAGTGATCATTAACTTTGAGTGGTTGCTAATTTTGACTGCAGGTTACTCATGCCACCAGGAGTTCTTTCACTGGTTTTGGTTGAATACAGTACCTTTTCATTTACATCGGAAACAGGCTGTGTTATTTTATGAACTGCGGTTGCTGTTTAAATGCCATTGGTTCAATTTGTGCTTAAAACTGCATATAGATTATATTAAAGAATTTAAGTGTTTCTGTTGTTTATGTACTCTGATTGAGTCTGACTGAAATGAACTTGCAGATTGATGGGGTTTTTTTACTGATATGCTTGTCTGCTTTGTAATATAGTGAGCATTTAAGAGTTTCTTTAAAAGCTAATGTTCACTTTTATCATGTAAGCACCACGATTAACTATCTTGCTTATTTCTCAGGGAGTTCAGTGCCTGTGACTAGTAGCAGTGTTCCTGCAATTTCTGCTGCTTCTGGCGGATCTGGAGGATTTCTGGATTTGGATAAGTTCAAAAAGCCTGAAGGAAGCTGGGATTGTGAGGTCTGCTTGGTCCAAAACAAACCAGAAGCCACGAAATGTGTAGCTTGTGAAAGTGCGAAGCCAGGCACCAAAGTAGAGCCCAAAGGTAATAGTTAATGAAATAAATAAATACTAAAAAAGTGTGCATTTCGCAGTTTGTTTTTGCTTTAGGTTTCCAGTGTTTGTTCTTTGGGTTTTTTTTTTGTGTGTGTATGTGTGGTGGTGGGTTTTTTTGTGTTGTTTTTTTTTTGAAGTACAATTATTTTTCTTTTGATGTACAGCAAAACCATTTTTTGTCTAGGAATATTGCTTAAGTCACGTAATGTGCTTATGTTTCTACACCTTTTCACCAGAAAAAGGTTATGCTTTTTAGAGAAAAGGATGTGTTAGTGACATAGTCGTTCTGTGCAAGCCTTATGTGTTGTTCATTTGGAGTTTAAGCTAAAAGCATGGTCTTTCAAAGAATTTAGCAGTGTACTTGTCAAAGCCAGGTGATGGACAGAAGACTTCCATTGCGAAAAGGTGTACATAGAGTGGAAGAGTGGAGTTCCGTTTGTTTTGGGGTTTTGTTTTTTTTGTTTGGGGTTTTTTAAACAGTTTTGAACTTGGGAAGTTCAGGACTATATTCCAAGCCTTACATTGCAAACTTGACATTATTGCATATTTCTGCAGGCTTTGGTGTGGCTGCTGTGTCCACAAATGCTGCAGTGCCATCATTTACATTCGGTGTCCCATCATCATCCTCCTCTGAATCTTCTCATACGTTAAGTAGCACAGGAAATTTTAAATTTGGAGAACAGGGGAACTTCAAGTTTGGCATTGCATCTGAGTCTGCATCTTCCAACACTGTGACTGGGGGTTTTAAGTTTCCTACTGGTTCGGATGGCTTCAAATTTGGAGTTTCTTCCTCAGACTCTAAATCAGAAGACAGTAAAAAAGAAAGCAAAAGTAACAGTTTTACTTTTGGAGTTCCATCTACAAGCAGTCAGGCTCCTTCAACATTTCAGTTTGGGACAGCAAGCCTGGGACAGCAGGAAAAGAAAGAGGAACCGGTTTTGAGAGGCTTTGGTTTTGGTACAAGTTCTGCTTCTTCCATAGCTACCAATGAGAATAAATCCGGGATTGGTGGCTTCACTTTTGGAACTATGGCAAAAAAGGAGGTAGCATCACCTGCTTTTGCGTTTAAGAAGTCAGATGAGAAAAAGGATGAAACGCTTCCGACGAAAGGATTCTCTTTTGGCAGTGTGGAGTCTGCACCTGCACCACAGTTCGTTTTGGGAAGGACAGAAGAGAAACAGGACGCTGTCACTCCTGCTGCTCCATTAGCATTTGGAAAGAAAGCTGACAGTGATGAGTTAAAGACACAACCTGTCTTTTCCGCTGGGATGGCTGAGCATACCAAAGAGGAGAGCACAGCAAAACCTATGTTCAATTTTAGTTTTGTTAAACCATCAGAGAAGGAAAGTGAGCAGGCAAAGCCGTCTTTTGCATTTGGCGCACAAACCAGTACATCAGGTAAGCAGAACATCTTTTGGCTTCATTTGTCTGCTTGTGTCCATCAAAATGTAACACTTCTGAGGACAAAATCTATGGGACTTGATATATAGCATGTATTAGAGCTTTAGAAAATGCGTAATTAGTACCTGCAGCCTGTCTTTAGTTCTGGTTATTGATGTGTAGACAGTATGTAGCAATTCCTTTTTAGACTTCATTGAGTTTTAACACTAGGTTTAGACAAAAATTTGCCACAACTTAAGGAACCTGCATGCTTCTTGTATGAGCACAGAACTTGTGTTGTCTCTGTAGTACCAGCTCAGCTGGTGATAAAATTTACAGAATGGTGCAGTGTGAGGCCTCATACTAGTGTTGTTTTTCATAGTGAAAAGGAATGAGAGAATGAATATCTTACTCTCGTATACTCACAGCTATGCTATGGGGTATAATGCAGTTTCTCTACTGCTACAGAGGAATAAAGGTCACTTCATAAATATTACAGTTTTGTATTCCTTTAATTTGCTGAAAGTCTGCAGTGGAGGATTAAAGTTCTTTGGTGATGATCAACTGTGTGGAAAAATTGTGGTTGTTAAATTCCATTTGCATGACTTGGCAACTGTGTTTTAGAGAACAGAATTAGTTTCTTATTTCTGAAGTGATACAGAAAAAGACATCAGTTAAGTAACCCTGAATACAAGAAATACATAAGGTTGTGCTGATTTTAATCACAGTATTCTTAGAGTGATTTGAGGGCTATGGGCTTTGTGGGAGGGGATTTGGATTGGGTGTTCTTTTCCTCCAGGAAAAGTTCTGGAGTTTGGTTTAGTTGTGGGAATTTGATTAAGCTTTCTGTGCAAAAAGGCAGTTTTAGCAAGCATTCTTAAGAATGGGATAGTCTCTTAAAAATGGCATAGATGAAAAGGGGCCATAACTGCTGGGGAAAAAAAGACAGTGGGAAGTTGAGAACAAGATCACAAATTATTAATGTGAATTGGACCAGCAGCTTAGGGGAAGCTGAGAAATTACTAGCTTTCAAAGAAACAGCTCTATTTTAAGTATATAAAGCTGCACTCAGGGCCTTGTAAAATGGTCTTCATGGCAGGTGGTTCTCTGTAGCTCCTAAAATCAGGTCTTGAAGGTGCTAAAAGTACAATGAGCTTATGCTTGTAAGAGCTAAGCTGGAGGATGGGAAGTTTTGCCTGGCATAAACCCGTAGGCACAGGGCTGTATTTTCAAACAAACGACAAATGAAACTGTATCACCGTGTTTCTCAATACTCTTGTTGAGCAAAGCCATAAAACTCTTGCAGGAGATTGATGTTCTTCTAAGAACATCTGAAATAATTCTTGCTTGAAGAGTTCAGAAGGACTGGTTAATACTGACTGGTTCAGGTAGTGACAGCCCATGCTTAGTGTTTATAACCAGTGAAGCCTAGACTACAGTGGCGTTCTTGTTCTTTCATTCTTTTAATTGTGGACGGTAGCAATCAGCACATTAAATCTGGATCTTACATAAGCAGCAGTAGCTGAAAGAGTAATTGAGGCTTCATTCAGGATTGCTCTTTCTTGTACAGTGACCAAAACAGGACTCTGCTGTACTTCATTTGGCATTTCTGTGGTGGTTTATGTACTGTTCCTCCTTTCAGATCAAGGAGCAGCAAAGCCATCCTTCAGCTTCTTGAGCTCTAGTTCCTCCAGCACAGTCGTACCCACCACTTCAGCCAACAGCAGCAGTGTGTTCGGCAGTGCCATCTCCTCCTCAAATCCTCAGCCAGTTCCCGCTCCCTTTGTGTTCGGGCAACCCAGCAACACTGTGAGCAGCTCTGTTTTTGGCAATTCTTCAGAATCTGCAGCCTCTCAGTCGTTTGGCTTCTCTCAAGAAAACAAACCAGCAACCACATCTTCCAGCACTGGCACAGGTCTTACTTCGTTTCTCTTTGGCTCAGGAGCCAGCAGTACCAATACAGCAAATTCAGGTTTTAACTTCGGAGCCACAACCACATCGAGTTCAACAGGTATGTTTTATATAGATGCTGTTCTCATTTTTGCCGTAACATAGTGAACTGCTGTTTCACTAGTGTTTTACTTGGAGAATGTGTAGGCCTAATGCCTGGCAGTAGAGAAAAATACTGAGTATTTGCCTTCAACAATATAAATTGGGGCTTGGTTTTTCACATTCTGTGGAATACAGTTTAGGAATGAAATGGCAGCAGCATTGCTTTATGCAAAGGACAACCCTTTACTGGATTTCAATTTGTGTAGCAGCTTTTCACCATGAGAATGATAGTTTCTTTTGTTTCAGTGTCAGTCCTGTGCTTACAGTTAAAACTCAATGAATTACAACTTCCCCTATGTTTTTTCTCCCATACCTAAACGTCAGCTGTTTTAAATAATGTCAGGATTGGCAAAATCCTTCTTTCACAAGTGTCCATAAACACATTACCCCTATATGCAGTTGCTGCTGCTGGAGGATTGATTTCCAATAAGCTTTATGCACAGTGCTTCTTAACTTTCCAGTAATTTAGAGAAGACAAATGAGAATCTGTGACGTTTCTTCACATTTTATGTTCATTGCCCCACTGCATGAATTTAGCAGTATGACGCAAGACTTAAATCATCTGCTAGCCCAGCTGTATGTCGGAAATAAGATTGAACCTGTGAAGAATAGACTTCATCTAATTTGATCTGCTTGCTCAACCTTGTAATTCACAGAAATTAAATTTGCATGCTTTTTTGTATATCAGAACAGGGAGAAGATGGTCCTAAATTGTAATACCCAGCAGATCAATTTAACCTGCTTACAAATCAGTAACTTTTAGTGTCATTTCCTTAGTAGGTAACAATGTATTTCAAACACCTTCACAAAGGATGTTTATTTTTCATGCAGAAGCCTATATTAACTTTTCATAGAATCACAGAACGGTTTGGGTTGGAAAGGACCTTAAGATCATTCTGTTCCAACCCCCTCAGCCACGGGCAGGCACACATCACCCTTGACCAGCTTGTTCAAAGCCAGGTCCAGCTTGGCCTTGAACACTGCCAGGGATGGGGCAGCCACAGATTCTCTGGGCAGCCTCTCACAGTAAAGAACTTATTCCTTATATCTAACTTCAGTCTCCCCAGTTTGCCCCTTGTACTGTCACTACAGTCCCTGATGAAGAGTCCCTCCCTGGCATATCTGTTCATCATCTTTGAAGGAAAAGCAGTCAGCCATTCCAAGATAGGGTGCAAAGAGGGTATTTTCTGTTGCATGAAGGCGGCTTAAATTGCATTAAGGTGCTGTTTAAAATGTCCCTTTTTCATCGCAGATCTGCGTACATTCACAGTCACTGTTCACTCATGTATTTTTGTTTTGTTATTTTTGCTGGCCGTGCAGAACAGAAGCAGCTAAACAAATGAGCTGGTTGTTGATGTGATGTAGGGAGTTACTCTGCTAGACCAAGGGTTTGAGTACAGAGAGATCACTGCAAGCTTGATTCAGCCTCCAGAGTTAATAGTGATAAACACTTGGCCAGGGAGGGCTGCAGTTGCTGACAAGAAAGATTGATGTCCTGATCCTGGTAAATAAGGAGCTGTGCTTTGCATGTTTGAAAAATACAATTTGAAATGAATATTCTTTGTGTGTGATATAAACAGCTTCTAGTAAATACAAATAAAAATATACTCTTTGTAGGAATCTATTTCCAGAACATGAATGTTAACACAGTAATCTGAGGTGAGACAGAAACTGTGTTTGAGATTGATTTTGTCTGACTCTTGTAAACACAGTGTTTCTCATGTTGCTTACAAGAAGAGGTTTGATTCCTGTGGTGGCTGAGGCAGTATTTGTTTTAGATACTCACACAATTAGTTTGAAATTCAGATGAGTGCTCAGTTACCAGACAATGGGGTCTTAGAACCTTTGATTTTAGATTCATCCCTGGGGGAGAATATGAAAGCACATACCGACATTCCTCTTCTGTTCCCCCAGGGTCGTCCTCTTCGTTTCTCTTTGGCTCTGGGCCTGCAGCACCAGCTGCTGGCCCAGCATTTGGCACCAGTCAGCCACCAGCATTTGGCCAGAGCCAAGGGTCCGGCCAGCCAAGCGCTCCAAGTTTTGGATCCCTGTCGACAATGTTGTTTTCAGCTGGCGCTCAGCCTGCTCCTCCTGCCTTCGGCTCTGCGACAAGCAGCACTCAGCCCTCTGTGTTCGGACAGCAAGTGGCGCAGCAGCCGGGTTTTGGCTCTGCTACCCCCAGTGCTGGTGAGTGCAGACCACCCTCTTCCCTTCTGGTCTCAAAGATGCTATATTCTGTTTGATTTTTCGTGAGGAGCACCTTAAATTAGAGGGAGGAAGAAGACTTCTGTCTTGTGCCTGTCCTTAAGTGTAAGAATTACCCTCGGTAAAAATAATGGGGGTGGAGTTAAGTAACTTGTGACTCATTCCTGGCTGTGGAGGATGTGCCATAAGCATGCCAGCTTCACAGGAAGCCTTCCCCACAGGAGACTTAGCAGACACGGAGGTTGCAACCCAACCATTAAATAGTGGGGTTTGTTTTCCTCAGAAATCTAGTGATTAAAAGGAAGCGTTGAGAGCCTTGGAGTATTCACTGCTAAGACTGGCAGAAGCAACACAACATTACTGGTTTTGGATTTGTTAAGAGTAGTTCTTAGCTATCTCACTTCATTAACAGGCTTTCACCATTTATTTGGACCAGGGGCTTTGTTTCATAAAAATACGGTTGGGATCATTTTAAGCACTTGCAGGTTGAGACTTTAATTGGGAACGGAGCAGAGTGATCCTTATAATTTAAGTGTAAGGAAGCCCCGTTCCACACTAGTAATTATTCAAAAAGAAAATCCCACTGCCAGAGCGTATGTATTTGATACCATCACGTCAGATATTTGAAGGGAAAAAGCCTCCCTTTTTCTTTTAAGTTCTACAAAATAGCATCCATTAAAAGTAACCGATACCTTTGTACTTACATTACTTGGCACACCATATCTCTCAGTCGGTCTTCCCTTTATCAGGTAGCTGTCGAAGGATAAAAATATCCCTGAATTCTCTGGTGTTGCTTATCAGTTACTTTGGTGGTAGGAATTTTACAGGTGTTTTTTTAAGGTGAGCTGCTGGGTTAACAGGTTAAATGAATGGGAGTCCCAGCGCGGACTGCATGAACACAAGAAAGTTTACGTAAATATAAATCTACACAAGCAATCGTGTAGATTTATACACAATGTAGATTTATACACACGTAGATTTATACACATGTAGATTTTACACAAGCAATCATGTAGATTTATATTTATGATTTAAGACTTTATGAATAAGCATCAGTACACACAGGTCTAAACGTAACGGTCGTACAGAAGTTAGCAATCAGTGTGCCAGCAGTGTTACTTTAAGAATCGCTTTACGATTCTGTGTTGAAGTGGATGAATTCTTCTATGTGCTGTTCCTGTGGTGATGGGGTACTTGTGCGGCACCCCCTGCCCCAGCTTTGTCATCAGGAGTGAACGATAAAAATTGATTCAAAATAGCAGGAAGAATGCAAAGATTTTGCTGGAAAGGACAAACTCCCATTTCAACTTTGTTTCTCCCTTCTGCTTCCACCCCTTCTTCCCAGGTTCTGTATTCCAGTTTGGAAGTAATACTTCTAATTTCAACTTCCCAAGTAACCCAGGAGTATTTACTTTTGGTGTGAATCCTCCGGTACCAGCAGCACCGGCACAGCCTTCTGGCTTGTCAGGATTTCCGTTGAGCCAGGCTCCAGCTTTTACAGTGGGGTAAGAGACTGTATCACAACTACACTTGAGCTTTGGGTGATAATGGTGGCCAGCGTTCAGCCTCTGCTGCTGTAAATCATGAGGTGTTCAGATGAACCCCTGAGTCTGAGACCAAGCTGGGCACCCTTCCTTGTAGTAGGGTAGTAACATGACCAGCTCACTAAGCAGTGCTATCTTGAAAAGAGCCCAGCAGTCAGAAATACCACACACGCAGCAACATATGCGTAATTGTCCTGTTGAAAGGTAAAGTCTGTATCTAGCCCTTACACTGCTACTTGCCTTCTGAATAAGAGATTTTAATTGGCTTTGGTTTCTGGAACCCTCTTCTTCCTGTTCATCTTAAGCCATTTGTTGCCAGCTGCTAACAAGGGAGGCAAGACTATGAAACGGTTGTCGTGGAGTATCTGCTCAGTGCTGCTACTGAGTTTTCAGCTGCGCTGTCCTAAACTCTGAACTACTAATTTCTTTTGATAGGACTAACGGGAAAAACATTTTCTCTGCCTCCGGATCTTCAGTTCCTGGTCGGAAGATAAAGACTGCAGTTAGACGTAGAAAATAACCGCCTGGTTGGTAAAGCAAGTTCCGAAGCAGCTACTACCCTGCATTGTTCAGTTGTTGGGATCGTACCTCATGCTGGGTTAGCTGAAGACAGATCTGCCTAGAGGAATATAGAACTCTGCTGCCCTTTCCTTCCCTTCCCTATCCCCAGTTAGGTTTTTTTTTTGGTTATGAATAGAGTTGGCAATGGGGCCGTTCTTGAGCAAAACTGTTTTAGAATCCAGCAAGTTCCTTCTTTCACTGACTCAGCATGGTCTGGCTGTAGCCGTGAGTAGAGCTTGCACAGTGAATGGCTTGTACAATACCTCTTCATCTGCACCACTATGTGCGCTCATCTGCGTTTACTGACGCCTCGACATTGTAATTATATCAGCGAGGGATGCTGTATAGAGTAGAGAATGTTGGTAACGAATGATTTCTATGCTGAGTTTGTGCCGGTGTATGTGTGAAGTGAGTGAGTTTGGGTGTATTGTGCACTAAAATTTTCTGATAGAGGAAGACTGATTAAAGGATGATCCATGCTAAGGACTTGTTAGATCTGTAGTTCTTCATTTAATAATTATATGCTATTTCTATATTTTCATTCTTACAGCCCTTTATCACCTGTCTCGCCTTTGTTATTTTATTATGAAATGTGTAAATACGATTTTGTTTCTCTATGTACTTTTTTGGCATAACAGATCTGTGAAATGGAAATTTTAATTTTGTGTGTTACAGCCATTTTTGTTTAGTATTGTCTCAGATTTTATGTAAATCCCATTATTCAAAGTTGCCTAAATCCATTTAGAAAATCTTTAAAATTGGGAATTCTTAAAGTAAGTTTATTGGCTTTTCTGATCCATTTTTGTTTGGACCAAAAACCAGTATTGTACAAAGTATTAAGTATATATTTTTATATTTACTGAAATGGACTGTGGTGACTTTGGATAATAAGGAAAAGTTTAATATTAAAGCCATGTTTATTACAGTATAATTAACATGTTAAACCATGGGATAAATGCCATCAATAAAAACTACGAAATATTGTCTGGCAGTTGTTACCTCTAACAGCTTCTGCAGCTGTAACTGTCAGAGATGTCAGGCTGTTCCTGAGCGATGTCACACGCTTTCTCCAACCTTTGCTTTTTGACCGTGACACTGATTTCAAGGGATCTTAAATTAGTCAGAGGTTTCCTGTTTGGAGGGAGTTTTATTGTTGGCTCCAGGCTTGTCAACTGTCTGGCTGCAGTTAATTTTTGAGAAGTGAATGTTACCAACACTCCCCACCATTCTAACTGAAGAGCGGAAAAAGAGACCCAATTGTCAATGAGTAATTAGGGGGTTTTCCACAGCTGAACTTGTATTAAGCCACAGCATTTAGATTATGGTTGAGAAGAGCTTGCTTGCCACAGCTACAGAACTGAAAAGACCGGCATAAGGCTTCACTGTGGTCTGAGGCATTTCTGCTCCTTGCCACTCAGCACTTAATGCAGATACAGATGCAGCTGTTACAAAATGAGACACTTTTCTAACCCACAAACTAGACCTGACAAGAGGCATCTGACTTCTCCTTTCATGTGTAGCGCTCCAATCACTACTGGAAATAGAAAATATTTGGTAACTAGACTTTAAAAACAGACATATGAGCTGCTGCTGAGGCAGTCACATCTGCTGCTGTGGAAGGAGTGCGAGCAATTGTGTATTTCCAGTTGTCTAAATCTGGAAAATGCAACAATTTGATTTTTTCCTTAGCTCTATCACTTGCCAAGGACTCATCCTACAACCAGAAAGAAGTTGCATCTTCAATGCAACTTGTGTAGTATTTACAACAGCATAATGTGTACATATTTCCATGGGCAGGTGCTCCAGTTTTCAGTTTATCAGGGGGAGGGGGTGGTATTTTCCTGCAGGGAAAGAGATATGTTCCCTTACACCTAATTGGGAGCAATGAAGTTTTTAGCCACCAGTGCTGTTTTTTCCCTTCCTCACCCGCATCTTGAATCCTGATTTCTAGGGCACTGCTGTAGTAAATAGAACAACAATTCTAGTATTCATTCTGGAATTGTAAATAGGCAAATCTCACCCTAGAGGGGACGTCAGTTAATTCTGACAGCTTCAGTGAGGCCAGGTGCCAGGCCTGAACTTGTCACGTCAATGCCTAAGTAAGTCAGGGGTGCAATTCTTTGAGAGGACACCTGAGTGGTGCTGTTGAAGTTGTGTTTCAGCTAAACATCATCGCTTTGGGTGGTCCAACCACTTCAGCAGGGTATTTGGTCATGCCTGCTTGCTGCCATTTATTACTTAAGATTTATTTTTATCTCAAGTGATGCATGTCAGTAACATTGCTCTGATGCTAATGGTACATTTAAGAGTAGAAGTCTTTCTGTTTGATAATAAATTATTAGTGTAAATCAACAGTAACCATCCATCAAAATGATTGAGGTATTTTGGTACAAATAGTTCCTGATTGAGTTTCACTATTAAGCAGTGGATCTGGTCCTGGAACACCATTGTAAATGAGGGTCAGATGCGCACACAGAACACCACCCCTCATCAAGCTAAACATTGCAGAATATTAACATGTTGCTGATTAAGTTATTTCACCTGAAGAGAAAAGCTCTCAAATATTTCTCTTGTCAACCAGCCACTGTCGACGTAGAGCAAGAACTTCAGCCACTGAGTGGCAAGTTAGGCCACAAAAACTAGGCTCTAGAATTCCAAACTCTTACTCAAATTTTAATAGCATATTAACACTGCTGCTTCTACTCCTTTCCCAAGATACTAGTAACAGAATAAACAGATTACAAAAGCTACATAACCATGCAAAATATTAGGCTTCTTTATTCAGTGTTTAAGTTATTCTGAATATACAAACAATTAGCCAGATTTAAAAAGTGAAAATAACCAGTAGATGTACTTCCAGAGATTTACACCCATAAACACATTTCACTTAATGTTTTCTGCATGCTCCTGCAACAAAGTCAGTGGTTTTCCTTGGTATTATATGCAAGAAATAGGCCAGTGCTTTCACTCCAAATAGAAGCGGAAGAGTTACCTTCCGTTAGCATCATCTGTACATAGCTCCAAAATTATTTACACTCACTGATTCACTAATACTGCAGTGTAACATATACTTCCCAGAGTAAAACAGCTCTTACTTCACCTCTTTATTAGCTTCAACATGTTAAATAAGTGACAATCATGCAAAAATCTTTTCACATCAATGTTCTGGTGAAATACTTAAAGAGGCAAGGGAATATGATCTGTGATGCAATACTAAGGGATGTGATAACCACTACTCATCTCTCTCTACACACACAGCAATTACTATGTTTTGCTGTCTAATACGGCAGTTCTCTTCCCCTCAGAGTTTATCATATGACTTGCGCAACTGCTTGGAAGTTGTAGTTACCTGCCAACATCCAAAACTGCAGGAGCAACATTTCTTAGTTGGAGTATTTCTAGGTATCTGCTTTCCACAGGCTGATGAACAGAACGGCTCCTTCCTGCAGTTAATACAGCCACTCGCTTTCTCATCAGTCACAGGTTAATACTCCCAGACAGAATACATATCGTTTCTCCCAAAATTCTTTGGCATGTATGAAAACTCCAATACTTTAAAGGTAGCTGCACTCCAGAGCAAAACATTTTCTTTAGCTTCTGACTTGGTTTCCATTTAATTTGGTCAAAAGATTGATGGACACCTTGATTTCAGTTTTGGGGTAGGTCTTAGTTCACTGGGGTGGGAGGGGATGTTCAGAACCAGTCTGGAAATCTCATCGTTTGGTATCATCTGACTCCATTTCGTCTTACCACAATAGTTCCTGCTACAATATCATAGGCTGTTCGGTTATGCTGGAAAAACAGCAGTGTAATGAATGCAGGGAAAAATGAAGCAATAGAAAAATTCTTGATTAAAGCTCGTATTGTGGACCTGAAATGAGAATAAAACATTCAGTGCCTTATTTCCACTTTTCTGCTTGTATTAGTAGTTAGTTTACTTTCAAGTTCAGTGTCTCAGCTTTGCACAGTAAATAAAGAAAAAAAAAAACAACCCTCCAGAGTTTAAAGATTTTAGCACCTGACCTGAAAATTAATGTGACTGAATAATTGCAATCTTATTTTTAGATCACAGAATCCAACAATAGCTCTTGCAGTAACCAACCCCAAAGAAACAAGAGTATTTCCTCCCAAATGACACACTTCCCACACTAACAACGTGAAAGGAATGTGACTGAAGTAGGAGCCACTTACGTTGTCATGCTGACGTTTGAAGATGGAATGACAAGCACACGGCTGGGCGCAATAAGTACAGATGTATCACATGTCACAACTCGCAGTCCCAGCAAGAACTTCCCTGGGGTTGCTCCACCTGCTCCCCAAATACAGATTATCTGGAAAAGAGAAGTCATTTTGATTGGTCTAGCAGAACTGTGGGAATGTCTTAAGCTTCAGCATAATCTGAAATACTGTAAAGAGGATTAATTTCACAGGCCAATGGGGACAGATTATTTTTAAAACATTTATTCACAAGTGACAACTATGAATTATAGAAATTAACGCTTCTGAGTAGTTACCTCATAGAAGCAGACTAATAATCTGTAGATGAGAGCCACTACCATCATCTTCTGCAAATCTTCCATGGACGTATCTTCATCTATTTCTTCTATGATGTAATGCATGGCAAATTTGGAGATGTCCCTGTACAAAGCAAGACCAAACTTTAAAACCATCCTTCTCCCAATACCAACAGTACCCCTTTAACACTAGAACTCACTGCTTCAGCTTTGGTACTAGTAAAGAACAAAAGCTCCTTGGCCTGTCTGATGCTAAACAAACCATTAAAATTCAGAACACTATGTGCCCTCCTGAGCTGCTGCTGCCTGGTTTGTTTGGTCTGCCCCATTATGAAAAGCTCATTCTTTACTGCCACTGTTGCACACTGGTGTCCCTGTGTAGTGAGCTGCAGAATTGTTCTGGGAACTCTCACACTTGGGAGATAAATGAGAGGTTCAGTGTGTGATCATCTAACTCAGTATAATGGGAGGCAGACAAGTCTCCCTTACAGGAACTCTTATGGAAAAAGGCACCACTCTTCTCCAAAAAAGCAAGGGAGAAGTTGCAAGTCTCCTTAAGCAAGCAAGGGAGACCCATCCTCCCTCGCATGATCTACTGCTGACCATACTCTCCCAGAGGCAGGCACCTTGGCATGCCAGAGGAAGTTTTTAACTTAAAGCAATTGAAACCTTCAGTTCCTTACCCTAACAAAACTACACAAAGCATCAATTCTAAGTCAATTCCTTATTTTCACAAGACAAACTCCACAGATTTAACATTCTTATCTGATATGCAGAGTGGACACCCTGGCACCATGTGTTCAGTCAATAACTTTTCACTAACATGCCTAAATGAGAACTGCTACTCACACAGAAACTGTGCAGTCCCACTTCAAACCAGTCCATCTAGATTTGTATTACTTGCCTTCCTCTTTACTCAGACTTACAAATCAAAAAAGATAAGGAATTAAGAAAACAGTGTGGTAAAACCTGCATTTCCCTTCAACACAACCTTTGCCTGAAGTCTATATTGAGCCTGTGAGAACTTTTTTCAGGACAATTCCTCAGTCTAAGCTCAAGCACACCACATCTCACAAGCCAAAAAAGACCTAACCAAACACACGCAGAGAATGGTTCTCTGAAGTTACTAGTAAGCAACTTATTGGCTCTGGAAAAAGTAGCAATATTGAATATACTGTAATTTACTTGAAGAAGCTTCCCTCTCTTGCCATCACTGTCACTTCTTTACAGAAGCACATACTCCCCATCTTTACTGCACTCCGTATAACTCTGGCTACTGAAAACAGAAGGGAAATACAAACTGTCAGGCTAGAGCTGGAGGTGTTGGTAACTGAAGAGAACTGTGAGTAATGGAATTGCTGCCTACACCAAGCTCTTGTCTCTTTATCAGAACAAAATACTGGATTACAGCAAATACTCGATTACACCAAAGCAGAGGAATTAAATGAGCTGCAGAATAAGATACCTACAGTTAAAGCAGCAGGTAAAAGAGAAACAGCCTTTGAGGTAAATGCTTACCTCCAAGTATAACAATGTAAATTAAGACTCTTTCAGTCTAGTATGTAATTGATACACTCAGTGCCCAATTGTACTCTAAGAGCCCCGATTTCTGTCCAGTCAGGAGTACAGCACAGCAGCATTCCAAGCACTCAGGCTGTATTTGAAAGTACATCCATAGCTGACATGCAGATCTGAATTTATTTTATTTTTTTGCTGTGGGTTAGCATTGTTTTGGTCCCAAAATCTAAAACACAGCACCACAGGAGATCCTATGAAGAAAATTAACTCCATCCCAGCCAGATCCCAGTAAGTTTTTAAAGGTTGTAAAAAAAAAAGCTAAGTTTATATTTGTCTATGTTTTTTCTTTGACATTTTTAAAGGACATCTTTAGAATCTTGCTGTTGCTCCATAAAAGTCAGTCTGACCTATCCTTGGCAAGAAGCTTGGGAGCCTATGAAGACACCTGCACAAATTCTTTGTTTCCATCAGCTGACCTCAAACCAGGAAGCATTTCTGGAGGTTAACCCAGTGGTGCTTTTTCCTCAGCTTTTGACAGTTATTAAATGCCATCATATGCATAAGCACCTCATACACACATCATGACACCCCCAAGGAGCATGAAGAGCTTAAAGCTATATGTAACAAAGTTTTAAACTGTTCAACTTACTTTATTCCACTGAGGTGCATAATACTTAAAACAATGGTTGCCTTTATGAAGAACAGAATAAAGAAATCCACCATCTCTGCTATGAACCTGTGTGCCAATGAGGGGATGACGAACTCTCGACCTGTAAAAGAAACAGTCAACATTACCCACATTTTATTGTCCTAAGTGAACACAATCATCTAAAGAACGTATCACATTACCCTCCCTGCAAGAACATAATCAAGATACTGACACCAGCTCACTTCATCTTTGAGAAAACTTCTAAAAGTGCATTAATAACAAATGATCTGAATTCTTCATATTTAGTTATAAGAACCTTCTCAAAACTTTCAGAATGCTGACTCTCCCCATAATCAGGACTGCAGGCAAAATTCCATTCCTTCTACAGAACAGGAGTACATTGAAGATGCATCAACTTTGTGGTTTTTTTTAGTACAGCCTCATAGAGAACAGACTTCAGTAAATATGAGAATTCAGATAAATGAAAAAAAAAATAATAGATGTACCACAACTTCTCTATCACTCAGCAGCAAGGCTTCCATATGTACCAAGTATCAGCTCTCTGAAAGCATAACACAGCCTAATCTGCCTCCAGTCAGATCCAGAAACAGGTAAAAATATTAGTCATAGTTGCCGTAAACATACCTACAGACTACTGATTATAGTAAACCACAACATGCTGCCCTACCCTGAGCCAGAAAATGGAACACACTTTTATTTCATCGGCCAAGTGCAAATGGGCTCAAGCTCACAGTCACAACCTTTTGTTGCTAATGTTGTCTCATGTCATTAAACTGAAGAAAACCTTAAAAAGTATCTTAGAAAGCTTCCAAGGAATAGCACTGCAAAATAACGTCAGCTGGACCCACTTACCTATCTATTTCCTAAAGGACAAACACAACACTGGCATGAAACCAGCAAGGACTTGCATCAAAACTTCCTTTAGAAATACTCAAGTACTACTAGATGTAACCTGTGGAAAATAGTGGCTGGGTTTGTTAGTGTTTTTGAGAATGCCTACCCACACACACAGGGATAGGAAAGAAGGAAACAAAATCGTTCCTTCCTCCCATCTCAAAAAACATCATCAAATTTCACTTAGAACAAGCCTGCACAGTGCAGCTGCTGAGATTGATACTGCCAGTCATGACCTCACAAGCTAAGCAAGCAAAGCTGAAAGCCCACGACATTTGAACACTTTTGAAATGGAGTAAGTATAATCAACCAGTAATTAAGAGAGAGTTCTTATTTAACACACCTTGATTGTTATATATCCTAATCAATGGATACTTAACATATATCGTTTCATACCTGTTTCACTTACAGCTCCGCATCAGTACTATCAAGTAGCACAATGTTACATATGTAATAGCAAAATGGATTCAATTCTCATTGTTGAAGCACGTCCAAGTTGTCAGTTAAATTCTAATTAAAGACTCTTCAACTAAGGCAGAAGGGAGTACAGCCAGTCTCCCCATCCCAGCTTGAGCACACAGTGCCAGATGAAAGCATTCTTGTGCTCTGTTAAAAGCAGCAAGTTTGTTGAAGTTAGTGGCACAATTTTAGGTCAATATATTAGATTCAATGACTAAGCAAGGAAGAGGCTCAGTGGGGACAGAAAAAAGAATTGTTCAAATTTTGCTGTACTCCATAAGAGTAAGAATCTTTGGCAGAATCCTTAAGACTCTGGCAGATTTCCACTGCAGTGATTTGAGATGTTCCTTGTATCAGAAATCCACTGTTTTGCCAGGGGTTACTATTTGTATGGCAGGGCCAACCAAACACTACACGCTTCCATCTCTTCTCAACATCTCAGATTTTACATTAAGCTACTAATAAGGCTGGGTTTGCACCAGTCAGCCACAAGGCAGCTGAGGCTTGGGCACACTTTTTGCCTTGCTGCTCCCAGCAGAACAATAATCTCCTGCAGTAAGCAGGGAGGGGCAAAGGGAGGCAGCGTCTTAAATCACACTGAACATCCACAAAAAGCCTACTACTGCCCAGAGCGCTGTTAATACTGGTGCTCTGACACACACCTGCTGGCAGATCAAACTGGAAGCAGCAGTTACCAATCCCTTTCTGACATCCGAGTTTAAAACCTGCAACAGTACCATAAACTGTCACTACTTCAGCTTATATAAGCACACTGGGCTGTGAACTGCAGTGGTGCCAGACAGGTCTATGACCTGCCCTGCTGAGCCTGCTGTGCAGGCAATAATCTGCAGCAGAAAAGAAGCTGTAATCACTTTATCTGTTCCAGACACATCCATCGGCAACCCCGAGGCAAAGCACCAGCACAACATTCTTTATTTATAATCGCATTGTTTCACTGTATCATCTACAGAGCTTCCTTAAGAAGGTGCTGCAACAGTACTTAGCATTCAGAATAACCATGTTCAGCAGCATGCAATGCTACTCGTGCCCTAAATTACCTTTAACATGTGGAATTAGTTCCTGAAGAACTACGTAAAACCCCAAGAATCATTTCAGTCTAGCTGTTGTCTGTATCCTCTTTTTCAACGACTGGCAATATCTGTTTATAAGCAATCTATAACTCTGAATCAGAGCACAATTAAAGAAAGTACTCTGTGCTATAAGTTTATTTAAACAATATCTGCTCAAAACCACATGAAAAAAGCAAGTTCAGAAGCCATACTCCCTTCAAAAGAAAGAAAAAGCAATTAAAAATGTTCTCGCCACACACCCTGCCACTGCACTTACAAAAACGTTACAGATCAGCAATGCTGCACTTTGCCCTGCAGAAAGAAAGACCTGGCTTTTCTCCAATGCTCTTCAGCAATGCCCTGCTCCACCGTTTTCTACCATTCAAGGTGCTACCAAACATTCAGGAAATGTCACCTAGAAGCTCCTTGAAGAAATGTTTGCGGTCCAGAGTTTATATCTAATGTGATCAGAGTAAGTCCTGTCTGGCCCTGGAAAAACTATAAACAGAAGCACAGCTACGCACCGTCTTCAGTATTTACTGCAATACCAGACTTTTGTTTATCTCAAGTCCTGCCACTACCTTGTTCAATATAAGCGTATTTTTATTTCTGTACTTCAATTTCATTAAATGATTTTATTTGAGCACCAAGAGCCTATTAAAACTGGAAACCTAAATTTCATCATCCATACAGGCTACTTATAAAAGAAGATGGATTACAAGTTTGCGACCACAAGTTTCACTGGAAAGAATAAACTCCTTTACATCCACAGAAACACAAGCACTAAAGTGACAAGCTGCACACTCTAGCCAACCCTCCCAAACCTGCTTATGGATTAAGTTCTCAAACTCGGCACAGCGACATTCTCAGCCCCCCACCCCACAGAAGCGCAGCGACCCTCGACGTTGCAACCCCCCCCCCCCGCCCTATTCTCCAGACACCGCCTCCCGGAGCTGCGGTGAAGGGGCCGCTCCTGGGGCGAGACGGCAGCACTGGAGGGGAGGAAAGGAAGAGGACGAGCGCCTGCGGCCCCAGGCCCTGGCCTACCGCGCCGGGAGGGAGGCGAAAAACCGGGGTCCAGGGCCACCTTCCCACGGGTTTTGAGACCCAGGCCGGCCGCTCCCTTCCTCCCCACGCGAAGCGTCCCAGACCCGGCCCCGGCCCCGGCCCCCACTCACCTGCCGGCCGCCCTGTATCCCCGGGGGCGCCGCTGCCGCTGGTGCTGGCGGCGCTGCTGGAGGTCGCCCTGGGCACGGGGGCCAACCTGCCCGCCGCTCCCGGCCAAGTGGGGCCGGCAGAGGCAGTTCGGTGGCCCGGAGCGGCAGTGGCCGTGTGAGCAGGCACAGGAGCGAAGAAGTAGAAGGGGCTGTAGTAGGCGGCCGCCCCCGCCAGCGGGGAGGCAGGGGACGGCTGCGCAGCTACACGAGCGGGACCGGCGGCGGGCGCTGTGGAAGCGGCGGCGAGGAGGGCAGGCAGGCAGCTCTGCCAGCTGAGGTACCCGCAGTACGAGTCCCACAACCACTGGTGCACCCGCCGCGCGTACTCCTCCGCGCTTAGCGGCTTCGCCCCGCCGCCCTCGCCCCCAACAGCCACCGAAGGAGAGCACGGCGGTGACGACGCGGTGGCAGTTTCCCCTCCGGAAGCAGCGCCGTCGCTCCTCTCGCTGTCGCTCTCCGCCATCGCCGCCGCCCCAGCGCCGGTGCGAGCGGAACCAGGCTCCGCCATCTCCTCCATCCCGTCTGACACTAAGGACTTGTGCTCACTGCGCATGAGCTAAGGAGACGCCTCGCCTGTCCCACTTAACGCTGGGGGAAGGGGGGGTGGAGGAACTGCATGGACAGGAGGTGGATTCCCTTGGGAGCGCACCACTCCCCAGCAACCGCCCTCTGCCGCCGCTGCGGCGGGGATGAGCCAGGCTTCCTCCCCCACCCGTTGAGGTGGTATCGCCTAGCGCTGAGGCAGCGTAGCGGCCTGGCGGGGAGGGCTCCAGGCGCTGCTGAGGTAGAAAGCAGCCGCGGCGGCGGAGTGGCTATCGTGCCCCGAGCGAGGTGTTCTGTCGGTGCTGTACTACTGAAGGCATGTAGTTTTTTCCTTAGCAGAAACAGCATGACTCCCCGCACCTGGTTTGTGCCGCAGCCGCTGCGGTGGGGAGCTGGGAGCCGCTCAGCAGGAGCGGCCCTGCGGGCCCCAGCTGACCCCAGGAGTACGCGGTCCTTCGCGCTAGCCCTTATTCCGCAACCGGACAGCCGTTGTGAAAGTACTTCTTCACAGGGTCTGTCTCTCCTTCCAGCCGCCTGCTGCATTTGGCCCACATCACAGATAGATTACCCTTAGCAGGGTGTGGTAGGAGAGTTGATAAACCCAAGTAAGAATTTCGGCATTGCATGCATTCTTTCCTGTGGGGGTGGCGAGGCCCTGGCACAGGTTGCCCGGAGAAGCTGTGCGTGCCCCATCCCTGGCAGTGTTCAAGGCCAGGTTGGACAGGGCTTTGAGCAACCTGCGCTAGTGGAAGGTGTCCTTGCTCATGGCAGGGGGTTAGAACTGGATGAGCTTTAAGGTCCTTTCTAACCCAAACCAGTCTGTGATTCTATGGTTCTGAGCAGGTGCAGCTGGACAAAAGTTTCCATCCTTCCACTTACTGCCACCTGTGATTGCAGCTGTGGTTTCTGACCTCTGGCAACTTTCCAGACACTTTCTCTTTGCTAATAGAAAGTGGGTTGAAATTGCTTGGAGAGAGAAAAGGTGTTAAACTTCTCTTGCGTACTTCTACCGTTTTATTTGTTGTCTAAATGTTGCTTTCTTTCCCATCTCCCTTTTTTCGTCTTTCCCCTTACCGCATTCATGTTCTTCCTGTGCAAAAATGCTGAAGAAAGAACAGGGGACCCTACAGCAAGTTTAAACACAGTTCTGTAAATTAGTTTTTAATATTTAAAGTTTCCAGTGTACTATAAAGCACCTTAACCTGACACAAGTTCCATATAACACAGGTGTTAACATAGCTTCATACTGAACAAACTAGTATATACAGTAAAAATTGAGTATTTTTCACTTTTGACATAGCAAAGCTGAAAAACCCCAGAAATTTCTCCCTCTCCTTGTTAGAGTAAATTAAAATATATTATTTTCCCATATAACTCTACCTCACTTGAAAACTGAAGTAACTTCTACACGGTGAGTCTCCCAGAGGGACAAAGTAAGGTGAACTGACAAAAGGCTTGACAAATAACCCATGCCATCTTAATTAAGTGCAGTTGCATTAGGTACTGGCATGCATTATGTAGAAATGGTTCTAATTACACTGGCATGTGTTTGGTAACATACGCCTCGGTGAAATCAAAATGGGTAAATGGGAAGCATAGGAAATTTTAGCATGGTTAGGAAGAGCAATGAAGAATCAAAGAAAGGAAGGTAGACAGATGTGTAGAAGAAAACATGGTCTTAAGGCAGCTATTAACTCCTAGTAGAAAAACTAGCTTGGAAAACTGACAATAAAAGTAACGTAACAGCTTTTTTCATTATAATATTTCACTTCTTCCTTCATCAGCTACAGTCTACTTAATTTACTTTTTTTTTTTTTTTTTTAATTAGGTTTTCACAACAAATCCTTCAGGACCAAATAGTGTCAGGCTTTTCTTTTTTTCTCCAGGTACAATTGCAAGATCTCACAGGCTTCATATAATGTTGCCAGTCACAGGTACATTTTGGGGTCAGCAGCAGCATTAAACAGGCATAACCTGTTAGAACTCACTGTGCGCTTATGCTGGGTACTCCAGGTGAAATGGGGTCACTGACAACAGGGAGCAAGGGAGTTAAGAAGTAGCTGAGACAATGTAATGTTTCCTCACACCCAGATATTTCAGTTCATTAGGTTTTTCATTCTTCTGCCTTAAAAAATAATCCAGAAAGCACTCACAAATTCTGCAGGCTTTCAGATTATTCTGTTCTGGGATGCATCTGATAGTATGAGATGCTGTAACCACAGGGCTTGCCAGAGATGGGGAACTCACTTAGGCTTTTCAGAGGTCTTATTTCATTGCTGTGTCAGGTTACCACACAAGTTATGGGAGTACTTACTGTTCTGTAGCACCTATTTCTCCCTAATTTAGTTTGCTTTCTCTTGTGAGCAAAGTCAGAAAGGGAAATAATCTTGGGTAGTTCATCGTACCAGTTGATGAAAATTCAACCTCTTTTTTGGAAATGAGATTTAGGCAAGAGGAAATGTTTTGAACTAGATCAAAAGAGGGAGGTAAGCACCTATAAGCTGTTATTGAAATAGTTACGGTTTAAGGGGAATCTGGAATCCCATCTTAAGCTCTTTAAATACAAATAATGCTGAAAATCTGTCACTCCTGAGCAGGGAACCTCTTATTGTCACTAGGAAGTAGTAGAATCCGTGTCTGCTGTAAATCAAGGTGGTGTTTAGGCCTACAGAGATGTATCTTAGCTCATTTTTATACACATTCTAGCTGCCTGTTATCATGGCAGGGTTTTAAACAATAAGATGTTAACACCAAGGAGCAGGTGAAGCATGCTGAAGTGTTCTAATAATAGGAGTGCTTTTAAAGAGACCTTGGATGAGAGTTGTTGGACATTCATCAACAGCTGCCTCTTATCATTCCAAAGTGGTTAATCATTGTTGTGCTCAGCAGCCTACATATATTTATGCTACTTTTGTATCAATGTAAGTATGTAAAATAAGTATGCTCATGTACAGAGGGAAACTAAATGCAGATGTTGGTTAAAGAGATTCTTCATTAATGAAACATACAGAGGGGGTCACCAAAGAGTGAGAACTTTACCCCTAAAGTAGGGGGTAAAGCAGCCAGGTACAAAACATGAAACTTGAGCCAAAACCTCCAAATGTATGCATTTACATACATATAAAGTAAAATATAATGTATTTCAATGTAGAAAAATGGCACAGCTCTCTCCCAAATTAAATTTAGCCTTTCACTCTTAAGACTGATCTGCCTCATCCATCCAAGGATTTTGAAAGAGAGACTGTCTCAAAAAGGTCTACTGAGATGCATTTTCTTTCTGGTCAAGTGTAATACAGACAGAAAAAAGTCCTAGTAGTCACAGTTGATCGACAGACCATAGCAAATCAGTAGGAGGAAAAAAAAGGAACTATTCCACTTTAAGATAAGAGCAGGGTACATAGAATTTTAGTGTGGTTACTTGTTTACTAGTACTGTCTGTTTTGGGAGTTGTGTGTAGATACCTTTATCTGCCTTTTACCTTGACCTGGTTTGAATGAAGAGTCACTAGAAATGAGCTTTCCTCAGGAGTGTGGCACTCAGAAGCCTTACCAGTTACTGAACTCCCCATCATATTCTTCAGTGTTCCCCAAGAGAAAATGAGTGTGTCTCTGTTAAAGCAGCACCGGGACTAGGATTTTTGAGAAGGAAAGTCTTCAGTGGTCAGTGGTGGTCAGGTAGGGTCCTTGGCATGCACCAAGACTTAGGAAAGCAGGGTTAAATCTAGAAAATCACTCCCGAGTTTTGGCTGTTGGAGTAGGCAGTATTTACTGTGAGGGTGGTGAGGCACTGGAATGGGTTGCCCAAGGAAGCGGTAAATGCTCCATCCCTGGCAGTGTTCAAGGCCTGGGTGATATGGTCTAGAGCGAGGTGTCCCTGCCCATGGCAGGGGGGTTGGAACTAGATGATTTTAAGGTCCTTTCCAATTCAAACCATTCTATGATTCTGTGATTCTCTGTTCTTCTACAAAAATTTGGTGCCCAAAAAGATTTTTCAGGATTGTTTCAACCATAAAGAAGCAGCAGGTTCTTGTTTTCTGGTAGTCAGTGTGTTCGCTGGGGAGGGTTATTTACAATTTTTATCTGATGACTGCTTTGTATGTCAGGAGCCTGTTTATAGGCATCTTCTGAGGACAGTAGCTACTTCTGGGCAATATTTTCACAGCAGTGGGCTCATATCACCTTCAGCAGGGGAACAGAATCTGTCTTGTATGCTCTTGATAACTGCTCTGCTTCTTGGCATACCATGTAATTGAGTGAACATTGCCTCCATTTGTCCAGGGGCAGCTGCTTCCACATTTTAGAAGGAGCCCAGCTGAACAGTGTATCAGGAGAGTGTGCTCAAGGTGCTTACTGAATAGGGCTACTGGAGGATTTCAAATGGACTAATGCTTGATCTCTGGGAAAGAAATGTGATGCACAGGTTTATGAATATGCACATAGTAAAGTAACACTGAAGGAACTCATGCAGATACATTGAGGACTCAGAAGAGTGTAAGAACAAGAATGGTTTGTCTGGATAATAACTGATACTGGGAAGCCTTAGCAAATTTCTAATCATAGAATCATAAAATCATAGGTTAGGGTTGGAAAGGACCTTAAGATCATCGAGTTCTAACCCCCCTGCCATGGGCAGGGACACCTCGCTCTAAACCATATTACCCAAGGCCTCGTCCAACCTGGCCTTGAACACTGCCAGGGATGGAGTATTCACAACCTCCCTGGGCAACCCATTCCAGTGCCTCACCACCCTCACAGTAAAGAACTTTGTCCTTATATCCAATCTAAACTTCCCCTGTTTAAGTTTAACCTGTTACCCCTTGTCCTATCACTACAGTCCCTAATGAAGAGTCCATCCCCAGCATCCCTATATGCCCCCTTCAAATACTGGACGGCTGCTATGAGGTCTCTACACAGCCTTCTCTTCTCAAGGCTGAACAGCCCCAACTTTCTCAGCCTATCTTCATATGGGAGGTGCTCCAGTCCCCTGATCATCCTCGTGGCCCTCCTCTGGACTTGTTCCAACAGA